TTACAAACTCAGAAAACTGTTAGAATAAATTTAATTGGCAACTTTATAGTATAACACATTTCCACTAACAATTGTTTTAAGTGCTAAAAGGAAAACTTTCTTATATACACACACAAATCTATTTGTTCAGGAAGATGAGAGTCTAGCCCCTAGTAAAAATATTTGTCCAATTACTTTGGCTGGCCTAGAAACACACTGGGCCTGGGTATTGGCATGAACCTGACAAGAAAAAGGAACTAATATTTAAGGGAACAAGAAGCCATACTGTATCTCCTCTGCAGCAGCAAGAAAAAAATCAGAATTCATTTGTCCATTGACTTCTTTTTTAAAAAAATCATTGAAATCCATTTGTTATTATTATTATGTTGTTAGAAAAGTCATATTTTTTCTATGTCTTTCTATGCAAAAATGGGCTATAACTTTTCCAACAACCCAATATTATTTTTTAAGTTGTCCAGAGAGAGTGAAAAAAGGAAAACAAGAAAGCAAGCCATCAGGTTCCGGACTTGAACTGTGGTCGACCACATGGGAGTCAAGTGCCTTACCTATCACATCACCTCTGACCCTGTTCATTAATTTCTTTTTTTAAAAACAATTATTTTATTTGACTTTATTTATTGATTTACATTTGACCAGAGAGGGACAGAGTAAGAGAGAGAGAGAAAGCCACCAGGTCTGGAACTTAAACTGTGGTAGGCCATGTGGGAATCCAACACCCTTAACCACCATGCCACATGTCAGCCCCTGTCCATTGATTTCTTAGAGGCTACCTTAAAATTTTATCATTATCGGGAACCAGCAGTTAGCGTAATGGCTATGTCGCTGGACTCCCATGTAGTCGACTGCGGTTCATGTCCCGGACCCGGTGGCTTAAAACTCACGCCGGGCGCGAGTGCGTGCGTGCCCAAGACCCCAAGAGGAGAATGGAGGAGAAGGGATTGCGGTGTGACCATCCCCCCTGGGGGGTGATTTCTCGCTTTCCGTCTCTATGTCTCTCTCTGTCTGTCTGGCAAGCGCACGTGCCCTACAGTGAAAATCTCTCCAAAAAAAAAAAAAAAATTTTATCATTATCAGGGAAAACCTAACTTTTCTTTTCTAATATTTTGAGTTAAACACTGCATCAATAAAGTTCTCATATCTGTACCTGGACCAGAAATAATAGGAGGAACATCCAATCCAAAATGCAATGCCAACTCTCAAGAATAGTAACAAGCCTGAACAGATATTATTCGCCCATGAAAAATAACGACCAAGCTTTCTGCAAAGTGTTAGGATTAGAAACAAAGAAAGATTCATGGTCTAGACCAAGGATGACCAAATGGCAGCCCTCGACCTAGTTCTGAATCACACTGCCTGTTTTTGTAAATAAAGTTTTACTGGAACACAGCCATACTCGTTTGTTTATGAACTGTTTATGTCTGATTTCACCCTGCAACAGGAAAAGTGACTAGCAATGACAAGAGACTGGCCCACTACAGAATAAAATTTCCAACCTCTAACCTACAGAGTTTACAAACCAAGTAGATCTAAGAGTCAATGGTATTTTGGAATAGCAGATGGCATAATGGTTACGTTGCTGGACTCCCACATAGTTGACTGCAGTTTGAGTCCCAGACCCGGTGACTTAAAACTCATGCCAGGCATGTGTGCCCAAAATCCCAAAGAGAGAAGGGAGGACAAGGGACTGCAGTATGGCCATCCCCCCTTGGGGGTGACTTCACACATTCTGTCTCTATCTCTCTGGTGAGTGCACATGTCTTATGCAAAACTCTCTCAATCAATCAATCAATCAATCAATCAAATCAACGATATGATTATTCTTAGGAAAACAAAAGGTTGGATGTCAAAGCAAGCTTCTTAGATGAACAAATGGTTAACTGAGACATAAGTGAAGATTAGGAAACAGTCTGTCACAGAACTAAGAGCATGTTCCAGGTAGAGTTAACAACACGGGAAAAAGCTCAGGGGCAACAGGATATAGAATATGTCTCAGTACTCCAGCAGTTAGTATTACTAGAGTATAGTATACAAAGTGGTGGAAGACAGGTGGAAGAGAGAGTATTATAAACTGTACAAGATGAAAATTTTGTAATTTAAAAACATATACACTTAATACCTGCAACAACAACAACAAACAACAAAAAACCACCACCACCTCTGGAATGACATAAAGAAGCTAAAAGAAGTTGCAATGGAAACAGTTACTGAAAGCAGAACAGATAAAATATAGGGTTAGGGAGACTTCAATAACTGCCAATTTTTGTTTGTTTCTAAGTCAGATAAACACACTATCTTTTTTTTCTTTTAAATTAAGGTTTTTGCCATAGGGTGGATGTGTTTGATGGAGAGAGAAAGAGACAAAGAGAGGGAATATGAGAAATCACCCCCCTATTAGGGAATGGCCACACTGCAATCTCCTCTCGTCCATTCTCCTTACCAGATTTTGGGCACATATGAACACAAGCCCAGTTTGAGTTTCAAGCCACCAGGCCCAGGATTGGAACCATAGTCGGCCTTCTGGGAAGCCAGAGCCTTAACCTTTATGTCATCTGCTGGCCCCAACACCCTATCTATTCTAAAATTACATATTTAAACATGTGGATTTTGTTATGAAGAAATTATTAATTTAAGCAAGTAGTGATGAGATTGTACAAGCGAATTAGACTATTCTGCAGAGTATAGGAGGTCTGGGGAGAGTAGAGCAGTTAGGAAGCTATTAGTAGACTGTTGGCTGTTTAAAGAAATATGTACTCTAAAGCTTGCACAAGCAAAAGAAATGACAAAAATCACTCAAACAGAAGAAAAGTAAAAGGAATATTAAGGTTTTTATACCGCTAAGGAAAACAGTATTAATTAGAGGCAGAGAATGATAATTTAAGAATAAAAATTATAATCTCTACATTAATCATTAAATATAATATTAGCAGGTTTAGATAAAACCAAAAGAGAAATTTAAATAATTTTTTTTAATTTTAATAAAAAAAAACTTTATTAATCTCCCTAAAAAGATAGAAACAGAAACACTAAGGAATAAAAAACAGACAAGACAAACTGAAAAGAAACAGCAAGGTGTTAAAATTAACCCAAAAATATTAGTAATTACATTAAATTAAATATGAATGTTGAAGAGTCCTCAGCCCCTGAACACGAACTGGTACTGGTCCATGGCCTGCTTGGAACTGGGTTGCACAGGAGGTGAGCAGTGGGCATGTGAGTGAACTAGCAAACTTCATCTGTATTTATGGCGACTCCCCACTGCACATATTATTGTCTGAACTCCACCTCCCATCAGACCAGTAGTGACATTAGATCCTTATAAGGAGCGTGCAATTTTTATCAGAAAAGTCATCACGTATTTTAGCACAGACACACAGAGAGAAATATATAACTTCTCTGACAACACAGATCCCTCACATGTGTAGTTCACAACAGAGTTCACTTGACTTGGTTCCCTCACAAGTGCAGTTCACAACAAGGTTCATGCACCTATTAGAATCTAATGCCTGATGATTGGAGGTAGAGTTGAGGTGGTGATGCTAGCACTGGAAAGAGGCTGCAAATACTGATTAACATTAGCAGAGACATGACTGCACAGAGACCATAATAATCAATTGCTTGCAGACTCATATAAAAACCCTGTTAGTAGCAAGCAAGAAAAAATTTGTTTTAGTTTTAGAGAGATATTTGCTATAGCATGCGTGCACTTGCCAGAGAGATAAAAAGTGAGAAATCACCACCCCAAGAGGTTGGCCATACTGCAACCCTTTCTCCTCCATTCTCCTCTTGGGATTTTGGGCATGCACACACACAAGCTCAGCGTGAGTTTTACGCCACCAGGTCCAGGACTCAAACCATGGTTGACTATGTGGGATGGGAGTCCAGCAACGTAACCATTACGCCAACTGCTGGTCAAGGCAAGTGAAAATTAAGTTGCGCCTGATGGCAGAATGCCAAGTGAGTTGGATACATTTCAATTGAACTGTATCTGGTGGCAGGCTTTAAGTAAGAATCTGTCCCATCCACACCTTCCCTGTTCATGAAAAATTGTCTCTCATCAAACCTGTCCCTGGTGCCAAAAAGGTTGGGGACCACTGTACTAAACCTTCAATTTTTATCCATAGTGGCTAAAAACAAGACTCAACAATGTGTTTCCTATAAGAGACACACTTTAAATTTAAGAAATCAATAAACTAAAAGAAAGAGGGTACAAAAAGAATAGATATTAGTAGCAAAAAAGCTAATGACGATCATATTAACAGCAGACAAAGATTTCTAGACAAAAATTATTCCCATCCCAGCTGTGGTGGCACTGCCAACATTATGCTGTTCCACAGACTGGAACCATGAGAGGCCCAGGTTTGATTCCTAATCCAATCTAAAGACCAGTTACAGTGGTATATACCTGTAATCCCACATAGTTGGGATGCTGAGGTAGAAGGATCATGGCCTGGGGCAACAGAGTCCTATCTAAGAAAGAGCTGGGTGTGGTGGATTTACACCTGCAGTACCAGCTTGGAGGCTGAGGCAAGAGACTAATATAGCAAGACACTGTCTTTAAAAGAAAAAAGTTATCCCCAGAACTTAGAGATAAGGAGGGACATTTTGTAATGCCGAAAGGATCAATTCAAAGAAGCCAAAGAATCCTGGTTTGCACCTAATTAAGAGTAATTTAAAAATACATGAACTAAAAGCAAACACTAAAAGAAAATAGATAAATCCATTATTATTAGGGATAGATAATCCCTTGCACAGAAAAAGCAGACATGAAAGGATTACATGAATATTAGTGCATAAAAGCTATTAGAGTGAGGGTGAGGGGAATAAATAAGTGTAAGGAACAGAAACAAAAGGAGTATCTAAAACTGAGTTAAGCAGAAATAGAGCCTTATGTAGACTAATTATATTAAAGGTTTATTATCTCAGTTCTCTGGACATCACATTCAAGGAGAAAAGTAAAGATCAAATTTATCAGAAAATTGTATTATACATGTTTTTCTTACCAGCATCACTGTTAAATTCATAATTCTTCCAAGAGTATCAATGTAGTAGACACTGTCTTGATACCATGAATCACAGTGTAGGTAGTTATACATTCCAAATGCATGCATGTGTTCCAGCGTATATTGATCATCTCGAAGTTTTACTTCTGCCACAGCTGAAATACACAAGAAAAATAAATATAAACATCAAGAATTTTACCTCAGGCTGTTCCTTTCTACAGAATGCCAGTTGCAAAGGCCTTAAGAGCAATCTACTATGTCATTTATTAAAAATCATTTCTGAGTACTTAGTAGGCACTGTGTGCAGAATGGACAAAGTCATGCCCTTACAGAACTTAGAACACAGTGACCATAGGACACACTGCTTTTCATGCTATCACCCTCTTTTAGGCGCCTCATATTTATCGTTAAAAAATAAAACAGAAATTCTCAAAAACAAAAATTTCCGGGAACCAGCAGTTGGCGTAATGGCTATGTTGCTGGACTCCCATGTAGTCGACCGCGGTTCGCATCCCAGACCTGGTGGCTTAAAACTCATGCCGGGTGCGTGTGCGTGTGCGTGTGCGCCCAAGATCCTGAGAGGAGAACGGAGGAGAAGGGATTGTGGTGTGACATCCCCCCTGGGGGGTGATTTCTCGCTTTCTGTCTCTATGTCTCTCTCTGTCTGGCAAGCGCATGCGCCCTATAGCGAAAATCTCTCAAAAAAAAAAAATTCCCTCTTTTCTGGGAAAACCAACCAATAAAGTCTTTTATACTTTTAAAATGTTCATACCTCTACTAACTCAATCATTTTTACCACACGTCAAGAAATAAAAAGAGTGTTTTTATCATCTCATTAGGCAGCTATATAAATAAATATAAACATAAGTGGTGACTTCTCCATACCACATCTTTCCAAAGGGTACAGAAAAAAACAGTATCATAAGTGGAGTAGAAACAAGGTCTCCTAGAGAACTGGGCTTTCTTCACTAAAGTATTACCTTCTTCACTAATTGTAACCTACTTAATGTGATTTCTCCCTCCCATTTCTCCAGTCTTTCCAGGCAGACAGTAGCCTTCACAGTTCAAGGCTGCCCATGACCTAGAATTAATTTGTGCCCCAACAGCAAACACAGAAGAGAACTACACTGGGCCAATACATTACTGTAATACAAAACTTACTTTACCACATTCTGACTGCAACTATTTTCTTCTTTTCCCAGAATACGTACCTGTTCCCACTTTCAATATTTGCTTGAGCAATAGCTGACTTACATTCATTCACTCCTTTATTTAGCAAATATTTTAATAAGCACCAAGGTCATAGTGATGAGCAGAGTACAGAATTGACATTTTTATATAATTAAACTATGATATACAAAGAAAAACTACTGGGTACCATGAGAACACATAACACAGAAGGCTGATCTACTTGAGATTAATGAAAGCTTTTCAAGGTTTCAGTCAAGCAACAAAAACAAGGAAGAATGAAGAAAACACACACACACACACACACACACACACACACACACACACACCCCACTATTTCAGGCAAATGAAATGAGATGAGGCAAGATGAGGAGGAAAAATTTGTGTTCAAAGAACAAAAAAATGGCTACACTAGCAGAAGTATGATAATTTCCCCTCATCTGAAGAGAATATATTCTAAGAGTCCAGTGGAAGCCTGAACCAGTGGCTAGTATCAAACTCTATATATACTGGATTTTCCTACGTATACATACCTATAATAAGGTTTACTTTATAAATTAAGCACAGTAAGAGATTAACAACAAAAGAATAACAGAACAAATAACAATATACTGTAATAAAAGCTGAGTGAATCTGGTGTCTTGCGCAAATTATCTTACTATACTGAACCGAGAAAGGCTACATCACGGATACGGAAGACTACCTTATACAGGAACAAGACCGAAGCTACATAACTGGGCAGAAGCTGGAGAAAGGCCCTGTCTTTGATTATCTTTGTTAAGAGACTCAGTAATAAAAATTAACTAAGAGTTTTTTTTTTTTTTTTGGAGAGGTTTTTGCCATAGGGCGCGTGTGCTCGCCAGACAGACAGAAAGAGACATAGAGACAGAAAGTGAGAAATCACCCCCCAGGGGGGATGGTCACACCTCCGTTCTCCTCTCGGGATCTTGGGCACGCACGCACACGTGCCCAGCGTGAGTTTTAAGCCACCAGGTCCGGGATGCGAACCGCGGTCGACTACATGGGAGTCCAGCGACATAGCCATTACGCTAACTGCTGGTCCCTTAACTAACAGTTTTAAAGCCAGAAAATAAAGTTCAGATTTGAGTTTGTAAAAGAGTACTTATACAATATGGAAAAAGATGAGCAAAGGCAGGGTAAATTCAGGAATATCAATTAAGAATCTACGGTAGTCATCCAGATGATGGATAATTGAAACATGAATATATCTCAGAGGTCATATTGTAATTTTAGCTCTAAATTTAACTCTATTTAGAGTTGATAAAGGTCAAGGAAACATAAATTTATATATACACGTACACACACACACACACACACACACACACACACTGTTATAAAGAACATTTAGGAATAAATACACTAATTAGGAAGGAAACAATGATCAATTCTTGGTTTTCTAGCACCACTATGTGGATGAAACTTGATAGTGCAGAAAATGTGCACGGAACATGACAGCCTAGAGAGTAATATTAGACAATGATACAACACATATATTTTCTTCTTCATATTTCTATAAAGACCCCTGGGTAATCCTGATCAAGTGAGGAAGTTTTTAACTATCTGCATTATTACAACACCTTATGTGCAAACATATGACTCTATAATAGCTTTACTGCAGATATATGGTAGGGTTTTAGTTGCCACTTAACAAGAAAATGAATAAGCTGTCCAAACCTAACAGTGGCTACAGGGCACATTACATGCTTACTAACTTGTAAAACTCTGTTAGTGCATAGAAAAAGGCTGCCTCTGGCCCCAAATGAGAAAGGAAAAATTATAATTGTATCCATCATGTCAATCATCTTATACGTGAGAGAGGCAAAGCAACTAAAAGAAGAAAAGCAGTATCTAGAATGTGTCAGAGCTCAACTGCTGGCAGAGCTCTTTCGTAGAAGCCTTCCCAAGAACAGGAGTTGGGGTTGGGAAGGGTGTAATATCTGCTTGGATCTTTCAGAGAAGGAACCCTTTCACAGCGAAGTCACCACAGTAAATACTATACTCTGTAATGTTTGTTTTTAAGAAATTTTTATTTTATTTATTATTATTATTATTTTTTAATTCTCTATAGTCATCAGAAACATAAAGAGAGAGAAAGTTAGAAACCCATCAGGTTCATGACTTGACCCACGGTTGGCCATGTTGGAGTCCAGTGCCCCAACCACCATGCCACCTGCTGGCTTTTTATTCTGTAATATTACCTTGCATTGGAAATAAAAGAGCTTTGGTGAAAAATCCTTATCTTTTAGTTTAAAAAGAACTTAGAGTCAGACAAGAAGAGTCTCCCTTAATTTTTGCCTCAAATCCTTATAAAACCACAAAACCTGAAGCCTCAAAAACCTGTAATTTTCCATTTATAAATTTACTAAATGGCTACTATGTGCCACACCCTGTACTTGGCACTGAGTACAAACTAGTGGATAAAACCAATCTAATTCCTGCATTAAGGGTGCTATTAATCATATTTATGACTGCTTCTTGTCCTCTAAAATCATATTATGTAGAACCACATGAAATTGGCAATAATCAAATATTTTCATACCAATTACACATAATTCAATCTGATATTTATATAAGCAAAGAAGTACAGTTTGTAGAAAAATGGTGGGAGAAGCTAAAAACATTAACTTACAAAGGTCACTTCTTGAACACATCTTCTGTAAGTTTTCATTTCACCTAGTTACTGTATGCTGTTTGTGTACAAAGACACAAAAAGTAGAGCCTAAGTCTGTGTATCATGTTCCAAAGCAAGACTTACAAAACAGGGCAAGACCAGAACTCAGAGCACTGCACCCAGGAACGTATTTTATGTGCTTCTGAGATCATAATATATTCATCGGCTGTCTCCCCCAGCTTTCCTTCCTAACAGTAGACATGAGTTTTATAATAAACTCTACATAAATATATTGGCTACATGGCTCTTCCTTCCTTTTCCTCTGACCATGGCCTAAATCTTTACCATTCTTCTATATGCTTTGAAGGAAGAAATAGCCCAAAGAGACCACATAGATCATTAGAAAAAGTGTGAGCTTCACTGGGCACAGATACACGTGTGCCCAGAATCCCAAAAGCATGGAGAGACGGATGAAAAGGGACTGTAGAATGACCATTCTCCACAATGGGTGTTTTTCGTCTCCTTCTATGTCTCTGTCTGGACAGCACATATGCCCTCTAGCAAAAAAGAAAAAAAAATGTGTGAGCTTTATAGTCAGCTTTGCCACTAATAAGGGGTGAATAGTACTTGTCTTATAAACTTACTGGCAAATCTAAATTAAAAACATGCAAAATATTTGGTATATGGCACATAAGAGGAAATGTTGAATTCCTGTTCTTACTTTTAAGACTAACTTCCACACAGGTATTTACAATTCCATTCCTATTGCCAGAAGTTATGCCCTCTCTACTGACCCCTTCCTCTCCACTTACTTACATTGAAAACTTCCCCACTCACAAAATGCACAGAACAGAAAGTTTCCTCCTTTCTGTCCTATGCTCAAAGCAGAGTTCTCCCCTATCCTGTACTTCTCAAACTTCTTTTAAAAGTCATCTAATGTAATCCCTATTAAAATATCAATAATATTCCCTTCTCCTCCATTCTCCTCTTGGGATCTTGGGTATGCATGCACACGTGCCCGACGTGAGTTTAAGCCACCGAGTCTGGGACTAGAACTGCAGTCGACTACATGGGAGTCGAGCAACGTAACCATTATGCCATCTGCTGGTCCCTATAGTCAGATATTTCAATACCCATCTTTCATGCAATAAGGAAAAGCTCAAAATAATTTTGCTGAATAAAAGACAGATTTTTAAAAAGCACATGTTGTATGCATTCTAGAGAATGCATTCTAACTTGTAGTGACAAAAGACAGATCAATAGTTGCTTGGAAATGGTGGGATGCAGGTGGAACAGATAATGGTTACACAGGGCATGAAGAAACTTTTGGGGATGATGACTCCGTTTAATATCTCAATTATGGTGATGAGTTCCTGTGTGTATACATACATCAAAACTTGTTAAACTGCATACTTTATATATGTGCAGTTTATTGCCAATCATGACTCAAAAAAGCTGTTTTAGTGTGTATGTGATACAAAATCATGCTCCGCACAAAGCACAGAAAAAGATGTACTGTATGGGGACCCACTGATACAAAACTAACAGTCCTAACAAAGAAAGAGATACTGAATACTAAAAAGTGTGTCTAAAGACCAAGGAAGTAGGGTACTATGGAAAAGAACAGTGTGGTACTCTAACATATACAGATTCTGTAGTACACCTTTAAATGAGATTATTAAGAAAAGAACATCCAAGGACCTAACAGGTAAACTAGAACATAAAAATGAAGTATGAATTAGCTAAGTAAACTACATGGGAAATACATAAAAAGTAACATAAAATAAAGTTTCTAGGAATAAACTTCTACAAGATAAATGCCCAGAAAGGGAAATGCTGGATCAAAGGGTCACTACAATTTTATTTAAAAAGCTTTTTGCTTAGTTCTTTGGGATAGAAAAGGAAAGAGATCCTTACTGTTTATGTAGCAGAGGGAATTTTCGGCAATTTTTTTTTTTTTTCAGGGTCTCCCTGTGTCAGGATCCTCCTGTCTCAGTCTATTTGGGACTATAGGCACATACTACCATGCCTGGCTCTGTTTTAGATAGTCTCACTATGTTGCCCAGGCCAGCCTCAGCCCAAGGCATCAGGATTACAGGTGCATGCTACTACATCCAGTCTTAGGTTGGACCAGGAATCAAAACTAGGCCTCGTAAGTAGTCTTTGTTGAGCACAGCGTCTTAACAGGGTTCACCACTCACCTGGGCCAATATCACTGTTTAAGACAAGAGAATAAGCCTCAGTGTGCTAAGTACTTTGAGACCATATAGCATCTCTCTCTCTCTCTCTTTTTCTTTATCTTTTCTTGGAGAGGCTTTTGCTATAGGGTGTGTGGGCTTGCCGGAAAGACAGAGAGAGACAGACAGAAAGTGAGAAATCACCCCCCCAGCGGGATAGCCATACCACAATCCCTTCTCCTCGATGCTCCTCTCAGGATCTTGGGCACTCACGCACACGTGCCCGGAGTGAGTTTAAGCCACTGGGTCTGGGACTTGAACCGCGGTCGACTACATGGGAGTCCAGCGACACAGCCATTATGCCAACTGCTAGTCCCCCATATAGCATCTCTTAACCTTCCTAAATGCAGCATTTCACACACCTGAGGTATCCACCGCAGGTTTCCTGAATTAATGTGAACTCCTTGAATTAGGATAAAAGAAATTGAACCGTGAGAGCTTCTCAATTATACCTCACTCATTTCTAGGATAATTAACTTCTTCATCACCCTCAAGTTATTCTTAATGAAAGCCCCTCACATGGAAGCAAAAGCCTCCAAAGTGTTCTGTCTCCATCCTTTACATTTTTTAAACTCAAGCTTGATGGAAATTGACAATAAACTATTCAAATTCCAATGCTCATTTCTCTTCTATGTTTAAAACCTCTAATTGGCACCTCATTACCTCCATTTGTGCATCCCAAACACAGAATCTAAGACCAATACTGATAAAAGAAGGGTGAAAAGTGAAATCTTTAGTTCTTTTTTGTAAAGTTAATGTTTTCAATTTAGAGGACTGTTGTAAGATTTTGTCACCTGCTTTTGTGCTGTTAAAATATCCTTTTGTTCACGAAACCACTGATGGGTGCATGATAGTTTTCAAGAAACATCTCCACTCAGCAAATTAAAAAGCTGACAAAACTACAAGAGCTGAGTTTTATTTTTTATTGTACTGGCTCACTACAAAAAGGCTGGGAAACAATGATTGACAGGATAAAGTCCGCAAGACAAAGCTCTCACTGATCTCTCTAACTCCTCTCACTTTCCCAGGAGATTTTTTGCTTCAGTGATTCAGGATTGCAACAGTGTCCTATATACAACATACTTCCCCTTTTTCCTTTCCCTTTGCTCAGTTTTTTCCATGAATGGAATGACTGACCTCAACAATTCCTTTTCTCCGTAGTACCTACTATGTGCCAAGCACTAGGGATAGAGTAGTGAGCAAAAGAGAAACATCACTGTTTTCAAGGCGCTTACAATCCAGTGGAAAAAACGGAAAACAAATCAACATAGATTTTAAACAAGGTAAGTAGTGCCTTAGGAGACTGCAATCAAAGTGAAGGCAAGAAGGCTAGTCAGGAGGCTACTCTAGTCCAGGTAATCTGGACTAGGGTGGAGGCATGGGGATGTCAAAATCTGGAGTTGACCAGATATGCTGAAAAATATGGACAAGAGCTAAAAAGAAGAAATACAGCACTTTACACATTGTTGTCTCCTGGAATAAGCTGGGCTAGCCTGCTGTCTTAGTTACCATGCTGCTTACAGAGATACTGAGATTGGGTAACTGATAAAGAATAGAGGTTAATTTGATTTAGGATTTTGGTGGCTGGAAAGTCCAAAGGCATGAGGCTGGGATCAAGCCAAATATGTCACAACACAGCTGACAAAAGCAGAGAAGCTGACAGAAGCAGAGAGAGTAGCAGGAGAATACAGAGAACACTGTCTACTCTTGTGTTGCAGGTGAGTTTCCTAGTCTCATTTCCTTTCACAAAGACTCACAGAACCCAGTTATGCTCACTCCAACCAACCAATCCCTAATGTCTTCCCAAAGACTCCCCACCCTTCAACAAAATAATTAGATCAAGTTTTAGTCCTTTTAATCCCATTACAGTGGCTCAAAACATGGATTTTGGGGGCCAAAAGGTGGTGTGGTGGTCAGGGGCACAGGGCTTCCATCTGGCTGACCACAGTTTGAGTCCCAGACCTGGCGGCTTACTTTCTCACTTTTTTCTTCCTCTCTCTCTCTCTCTCTCTCTCTCTCTCTTTCTCTCTCACCTCCACACACCCACACCCACACACAAACACAAACAAACACACCCACTCTGGTCAAATTTAAATAAATAAAGCTAAATAAAAATAATTTTTAAAAAACATAGATTTTAGGGGGACATATTCAAACTATGGCATTTGCTGAAAGATGAGAGAACATATAGAGGGGGAGTCAAGTGGAGGTATCTGATACAATCTTAAAGCAGTCTATAGCACAGAACCTCCAAATACACCAACGGAGTCCAGCCAAGATGAACAGAGGTATCTAGACACACAACTGAACAAAAGGTACAAGAATGAACCTAGCCAGGATTAGAAGAGCCACCTAGCAGACCTACAAACCTGTGAGCAAGAATATCTGTCACTGAGTTTTTTTTTAATACATTAGCTAACAAAACATAGCAGTACTATTTACTAACACGGGAGAATAGAAGAAGCACAGACGTGGGAAATTGGAAAAGGAAGCAAGTGAAAAGAAAAATCTCACCTTTAACTCTAGTCAACTCCTACCAATCCTTTAAAGCTCAACTTAGATAATCAATTTCTCCAAAACGCTTGCCCAGATTCCCCCAGACTGGTTTATAAAAGATGATACTCAAGCACCTACTCCTGTATTTTGTACACATTCCTATCACTACTTTCTCACATTGTTTTCATAATTATCTATTTATACTTTTCTTCCTGACAAGATAATTGCACCTGTATATTATAGGCTGTGTCTTATTCATCTTGACACCATCAGCATGTCACAAAACAGGCTCTTGATAGATATTTTTGAATTTAACAAATGACTAAACAAAGAGTTTGATACCGTATTGTCTATTAACGAACTCTAGATCAGTATTTCTCAAAGTGTGAGCCACAGACAACATACGCCAGACTCAGCAGGGTGTGTATTAAAAAATGCAGACTTCTGGGCTATGTCACTACGAAAACACTACTCTTTAAGTTATGAAATCAAGGATGAGAATATTGTGGCCAACTACAGATGAACAAAACAAGGAGCAGTGTAAGTACCAAATGAATATTTCCTCAAATATTTCTAGAGATGTTCTTTATCAGAGTTCTAAGGGTGCCAGGACCTGGGCAACTGAAAATGCTCTGCCTGGAATGTACAATAGTTCCTCTTGGGAAATGGCTCTCTGTCAGAGGAAACAAGAGTTGAGGGTCCTCCCAAGGAGATGCCGTTTCTCAACGCACACGTTTGAAGGCGATGCTCCGGAACAAAATAACGTCTTGAGCTGTCCCTGCCCCAGAAGCCAGGCCGGGGACCGACAGGCGGCAAGAGCCTAGGCAGTACCCGCGTGCCAGACCTTTGAGCCTGGGTTGAGGGCTGGCCCAGGATGCCCCTATGGAAATGCCGCTCCCACAGGGTTCGGGAATGGGCATCGTCCTCCAGTAGCGGCCAGCCAGGGTCCACCCCTACCTGGAGGGGGCGTGAGGAAGGTCACGGTCGTCTATCTGCCCTAAGCAGAAAGAAAATAAGGGAAGAATCCCGCCAAGACAGCCGAAAGGGTAAAGGAACTGAGTGCGGGGAGACGCGGCCGCTTCCCACCTGCGTCAAGCTCCAGCTGGTAACAAGGCAGCGGCTCGAGAGACAGCTTGTAACCCTCGAAGCGGGGATCCAACAGAGGTCTCTTGACTCGCAGGGAGTAATTAGCCGCCACCTCCATCACTTTCCACGGTCCTAGTGTGAAATTAATAAAGCTCTTGTTGAAAGGTCCGCGCTTTACTCTTCTCACGGAGACTGGGAAGCGGCGTGGTTCCCATCCCAGAAAACACTGCGGTGCAGAATGCCTTCTGGGATATGTAGTACTCGTGAGAAAGTTGACCCCGTTGCATGCTGGTCCAGGTAGTTTTTCCTGGGACCTAATGCCTGCTTGACAGCGGAGTCTGAACTCTCTTACCCAGAAGGCTAAGCGACCAGGAGGCGGCCCGCGCTAGTTAAATTCTCACTTTATAGGCAGGGTGGCGAGACCCCGCCCCGGAAATGCGTGTTCTAGCTTTCTGTGTGCTTAGGTGCCCGAGCTACTGAGGGTCTAAGTCTGGGCAGCCGAAGAGTGTGGTAGGTAACGGTCGTCAGCGCAAGGGTCATTTCGTCGCTGGGAAGGGACGGCCCTCGCCCGCGGTGATGGTGGTGAGCTATGCCCGTGGTCCTCAGGGCCGGGACCCGGGCCCAGCCCAGGCTCCTTTCGATGTACTGTCTTTCGTTAGCTTCCCCGACCCGCGCTCGCGGGCCTGTAGGGCTCTCCGACAGGGCGTGCTACCGGAGTTGGCCTGAAGCCAGTCTTCGCTTTGTTTTCTAGCTCCTCCCCTCCCGCCTCTCCCTCTGTCTCCGCCCCATTCCATTTTCCAAAAGAATGTCTGAACTGGGAGGGAATCCCCTAGCGCCCTTGTTTTACCAGTGAGAAAACTGAGGCCTTTAAAAATTAAGTGATTTGTCCAAGGTCACTATCCGTATTTTAGGAGCCAAGGCGTGATTTAAGTTCACTATGCCATAAATGATACTGCTTAGACTTAGGAGTTATACTTGAAAACATTGACCTCCAACTACAAAAGCAAGCATTTCCTAGTTCTTTCTCAATTCCTCCTTTCCCCGGTTCCCTTCAAAGAAAATAAAAATCTAACTGACAACTCATGGCCGGTCTGAGTTTTCATGTAAGTGAGATGGGAGACAACAAAAGTAGTCTTTCAAGTTAGTGACACATGAAGTGAGGAAATGTTAACTCATTTCATGTTTTATTTTATTTAAACTTTTAAATGGCTTGAATGCTGTAAAAACCTAATCTACTTAATTTGTTTTTTTTGGAGATGTATTTGCCATAGGGTGCCTGCTCGACAGACAGAGACAGACAGAGAGACAGAAAGCGAGAAATCATCCCCCAGGGGATATGGCCACGCAGCAATCCCTTCTCCTCCATTCTCCTCCCGGTATCTTGGGCACGCACGCACACGCGACCGCCGTGAGTTTAAGCCATCGGGTCCAAGACTCGAACCACAGTCGCCTACATGGGAGTTCAGTGACATAGCCATTATGCTAACTGCTGGTCCCAAAACCTAATCTACTTTCTAAAATCATTTTGGTTTTGGTTGCCTGCTTTTACTGAAAATTGAAAATTTTCTAAGTTAGGAATGAGTTTTTATATTTTTCTTCCCCTTATCCCACCAGCAGTGTATGTACATACAGTCTGACATGTCTTGTTTAACAGTTACTTTAGGATACATCCTAGTTAAGAGTAAAGTACTTAGATCCTTATCTGTTCATTTCATTTTTTATTAATAGTGTCTAATCTTCTACCGATACTTAGCTTATATGGCTTCCCTCAAATTTTGAATGCAGTTAAGGTGCAGAAATGATCAGCAATGAGTTACTTGCAGTTAAAGTGTATGGGGGGAGGTGTCTGGGGTCAAAGTACCTGAGTTCAAATTCTGCTTTCACTACTTCAGATCTCAGTGCCTCAGTTTCCTCATCTGTAAAATAAAATTAGGTTAATAATGTATAGCAGAAAATAAGTTCTGGGAATTAGATGTGATAAAATACACGAAGCATTAGCCCAGTATTAGGCACATAAGTATTTAATACATGTTTATATAATTATTGGGATCCAAAGACTCATTAATAAAGGGTATATGGGGGAAGGGGATTGTGAAATTACTTCATCAGTTTAACTCCTTGGATACAGTAAAATTAAAAGTAATGATATTGTTAACATGCTATTGAAATTTATTACCCATTCATTGGATAGAGAGAATATTAAACATGTTAGGATGCTTACCTAGAGGATTTAGAAGAAAAGTCTTTGTAAATATTCTGTATCTGAAAATACATGTTGATGTCCAGGTTAGCAAGATGAACAAAGATGCGCAGATGAGAGCAGCGATTAACCAAAAGTTGATAGAAACTGGAGAAAGAGAACGGTAAGTAATAGATTCTCTTACTAAATTACATTTTGTCATCTTGAATAGTTACATCATGTAAGTGTAAATATTAAGGAATGAAACATATCAGTAAAAAGAATTACAGGAAATTGAAATGACCAAAATTCCACTCCTAATATCTATAAAAAAAAAATTTAGGTCTAGTCATTCTTGCAAGGCTTGGAAGGAAGTGGGTGATGTAGAAAGATAAGCAAGAAACAGTTCCCTCTCAAAGAATGTGTACTCCAGTGGAGAAGAAAAAATATATACCAAAATAACTAATTGAAGACAATATTATCTAGGTTTTAATACGGAGAAAACATGATAGAACCAATTTTATTACCATGCTGTTGGGGCAGCATGCTACTACTACCAGTATTAATCCTACTCTGTGAAACTTCTTTGATTTTTTTGTTAATTCTAGCTCTTCTGTCAGGTCATGCTTTAAATACTGCTTCATCGATGGGTTTGTTTGTTAAATCACAAATACCTTGTTCCACCATAGTATTTAATCACATTGTATTCTAACTCCCTACTTAGCTCATTTGTATCATCCAATGTAATTTAAGTTCATTGACAACAGAAACACCATTGTATAACCAACATCTGATGATATGCCTGGCGGGTAATTGGCCAAGTAAATATATGGAGGATGAACAGGTTTGAAAGTACAAAGAAAGGGCCAAGTAATCAAAGGTTTCTAGAGGCAGTGTGACAAAATATGTAAGAAAAAGGTGTGTATATGTCTGTGTATGTAAGAAAAAGAGGAACCTTTCACCTCTATCTGGGGGGTTAAGATGATCAGATGAGATCTTACAGAAAAAAAAGAATTAGCTGTTCTCCAGGCCAGTAAAGGAGAAGACATTCTAGGCAGAGGGAATGGAATGTGCTAAGTCACAGAGCTTTGGTACTATTTGATGATTTTTTAGGAATTGAAAAATAATAAGGGAAATCTATAGGGTAAAGTGTGAATACTGTCAGGACCAGCAGATGGTTATGTTTCTGGATTCCCACATAGTTGACCATGGTTCGAGACTCAGACCCAGCAGCTTAAAACTCAGGCTGAGCGATTGTACATGAGTGTCCAAAATCCTGAGGGGAGACAGGATTGCGGTGTGGCCATCCCCGCAGGGATTGATTTCTTGCTTTCTGTCTTTCTGTCTCTACCTCTCCAGTGAGCACACACACACCCTATAGCAAAAATCTCTCTTAAAAAAAAATAGCATGGGGGCCAGCAGGTGGACTAGAGGTTAAAGACGCTGGACTCCCACATGGCTGGCTGTGGTTCAAGTCTCGGACCTGGCAACTTGCTTGCTTTCTCTTTTTCTCTGGTCAAATTAAAACTAATAATAATAGTAAGGTTAAATAACATAATTCTTACTTTTAAAAAAGTGTGAATACTGTGTAGCTGGTATAGTGAACAGGAGATGTGTGTGTTTTGTGTACAAGTTCTTTTAGTTGAAATGATAGAAAATGAACTTGGAAACTGGCATAATGAATAGAAATGTGGAAGTTCATCTAACTAAAATGTCGAGTTTGAGGTTGGTTCAAACACTACTAGATACAGGCACTCAAAAAATTGTTGCAAGAATATGTCTGTCCTTTTCTCTCTCAGCCCTTCTTTTCTGTGTTGGCTCTGTTCTCAAGCAGGCTCTACCCTTTGATGGCAGAGATTAACAGTTCAAAATTCAAATTATACCAGTTCAGACTACCTTTCTCGGCAAAAGACTTACCTTGATTTCCATCTCACTTAGGTATGAAGTCAGTTATGATTAGCCTTGCCAAGGCCATATTTCCATTGCTAGAACCTTACCAGTAGTCGTACACTGAGAGTAGCACAGTTGTTGGTTGGTTTGCTTGCTTGTTTGTGTTGTCAGAGCAGGAAAATGGACCGTGGGATTTACAGAAATATCTTTATCCTTGCATAATGAGAGGCATTAAAAGATTTCAAGAAAGGGAATAACTAGATCACATTTATACTTTAGGAATCTTATTCTGACTTTTTGGATGGTAGACTTGAAATGGTCAAGACAGAAAAATGAGATTATATTAGTCAAAAATGCAAAACTGGAGAAAGGAGAACTTATAATTTTCGTAAAAAGTAGAAACAGTTCTGAAATTGAGGAAGGAAGCATCTAACAGTGCCTTGGGTTACTTGAGCGAATAGTGCTGCCAGTAATGATCATTGGAGACTATGTATTGCTATTTTTTGTTTGTTGGTTTACCTTTTAATTCATGCAGCTTATAGTTACTGAGTTTCTGTCGTGCACCACGCCCAATTAAAGTGCTAGAATTTTAGTAAAACAAACTTAAATCTGACTTCCATGGTGTTTGCATATAACTGGAAAAGACAGTAAGTGCATAATATGTAAGATGGTGATGAGTGCTGGAACCAAAATAGAGAATTATGGGGAGGGGTGATATTTTGGATTGAAAAGAGAGAGAGAGAAGTCTTCACTGGTAAGAGATCAGGAGAGTAGGAAGGAAGAAAGATTTCAGCAGCCTAGGTCCTTGCCTAGTATTTTTGAGGAGCACATGGAAGCTAAGGAGCAAATTGGGTGAGGGACATAGAAGACAAGGGTGAAGGCCTAGCTGGGGAGAAGACAGTTCATGGAGGATCACTTAGGCTAAAGTTTTGGAATTGTAGTGAGAAAATTGGGAGGGCATTAGAGGGTTTTGAAAAGTGGAAAGAGAATGAAGTGTATAAGGAAGGAAGCAGGGAGGCAACTTAGACAAAAGATGGCCAAACTAGGATAGTAATGGTAGAGATGAAGAGAAACATTTGCATTTTAAGTATGTATTTTAGAGCTGAAACCAGTCAGATTTGCTCATAGCTAAGAAATATAGTGCTAACATGGAACTGAGGGAAAGATGCTGCTACGGTTCTTGATCTGAAGAACCAGAAGTGTGGAGTTGCCATTCTGTGGAGGAGAACAGGATGGAGTGGGAAAAGATCCAGAGTCGGGTTTTGGCCCTGTTAAGATCAAAAGATCTAAAAGGGTATCAAGCTAAAAATGTGAGGTAGTAGGTATCTGGGAATATCAAAAGACAAGTGGTTTTTCACAGAAAGAGAATTCATTTGCTTTGAGATGTGACATGTTTAAACTGAGTTACTAAATGATTTAGGTGGAGGATTTGTAAGAATGGGTATGACAAAAGGATAAAATATGGTATTGCTAATTATGATAGGCAGGTCAGTTACTGAATTGTTCAAATGTAGGGGGGATAAATGGTCCTAGAATCAATGAAAGACCTTAATAGGCTGGGATTAAAGGAAGAGGCGGTGTGTCAGATTAGAGAGAGAAATACTGCAAGAAGTATGAGAAGTAAAGGATAAGAATGGATTTTGGAATTTGAAGATTTTGGAGATATAGCAGCTGTAAGTTCAATAAAACCCTCTAGAAATTGTACAAAACCCATGATATCCCTGTTGGTAGATGGAAATAGAAAGTATGTGAAAAGACCGGGGACTAAAAAGCTTCTTGGATCGTATTTTATCACTTTTCACTTTATACTTTATTTTTTCATCAGATGAGGCACAGATGAAATGTTGGGCCCAGGGTTTAAATGGCTCATATGAGATCAAAGAACTATTTAGTGATAGAAACAAGATTAGGAGACAGTTTTGTGATTACAATGCAGAAAATTTTTAGTTCAGTTCAATCTGTTCTTCAGACATTCTTTTCTAAACATTGTTGTTTAATTTGAAAACATTTCTTTTCAACAGCCTCAAAGAGTTGCTGAGAGCTAAATTAATTGAATGTGGCTGGAAGGATCAATTGAAGGCACACTGTAAAGGTAATCAGTTTCATTTAGAAGATAAACTAATTTCATTTCATTGTTCTGGCCTGGGTTGGTTTGGGATCCACTAAGGGAAAAAAGAAAAGTATTCTAAGATATATTGAGTGCTCAAACATAATTTTAAACAAATAGAAAATTCAGTTTTTTAGTAATGGTTTCCTCCTCTCAATGATATATGCAAAAGGATTCATAAATTTTTAGGAATTTCTTTTGGGTTTCTCTTTAAATGAGTGAGGTAAGAGTAGTTATACAAGATTTTTCTGACTTCAGAGTATGGCATCCCATATTTACAGTAACATTAGTATTCCTAATATATTTAAACTTAATACATATTGAGCATTTTAAGGTGGCAGACTTAGAGAATTGTATCACTCCTTTTATTAATAGTGTTATTTCGAAAAATTCATGTGAAAGCTGTTAGAAACTAAAAAAACAAAGTAACTGTAGAATGGAAGCTTATTAAATAGCTGGGTATTGATGATGATATTACTTGATAGATTCCACATGTCACTAAGATGACAACCCCCACCCCCCACCACCCCCTTCTGGCTTAGCTTTTGGTATAATAGAATTCTGAGTATTTATAATGAATCCCATTGTATTATAATGGCTTCTACAAATGAAAAATCAGAGACCATATATACATTAGCTATAAGAAGCCAGTGTGGCAAATCAGTAAAAGCATAGACTTGGAGGTCATCCAGACCTTGCTGGTAAGAGACTGGAGCTAGATTTCAACTCAGGTTTGAATGAGTTATTTAATCTTTAAGCCTCAGTTGCCTCACCTGTGAAGGGGGAAAAAATGCCTAGCCTATTAGAATATTGCCCATGTTAAGTTGTATAAAACATCTAATACTGATTCAGTAAATGTTAGTTATATTTCCTCATATTTATATTGGTCCAGCTAAGGAAAAATAGGATAGCAAAAGAGTTGTTCTACATTTTAATTTTGACTATGAAATTACAAGTTAGATTCAAATAATAATAAGAGTTTTTCCCCCTCCATACATGTAAGAGCCAATATGATGGTAATGAAATAAGATCAGTGCAGTTTTAAGTATCTAGCTTTTTACAAATGTTGGATTTGAACATTGTAGTTCAAATTCATTCTTGAGTGTTATTTTCTAAGTCACAGATTATGTAGCTAAGAACAGACTTTATTCTGATCTATCTGGAGAATAATTATTGTTCGTAAAATTGAACTGAATTTTTATTAGGGAAAAAAGTGCCCTCTTTTTTTTTTTTTAAAGACCAGTCTGCACTCTAAAAACATGATCTTAACCCTTCCTCTATGAAAATCTTTCTTACAGATAATGATTTTAAATGATATGATTTGTTTTTTGCTTTTGCATAAGAGGTAATTAAAGAAAAAGGACTAGAACACGTTACTGTTGATGACTTGGTGGCTGAAATCACTCCAAAAGGCAGAGGTAAGGGATACAAATTGTGTCAAAGGAAATGTGCTGCAGACATGGTTTTCTTTCCTCTTGTGGATTTGAATTTCTTTACAAAAGGAAAAGTATCTTTTCTGAAATTTCTGGAGGAATTCTTTTTTATGTGGGAAGAGTTATAATTGCCTACCTGGCTCTCTTGCTTAGTTTTGAATAACAGACCAAATAAGTGTGAAATATTTGACCACTCTAAAACAGTGTACTGACATAAGTTGATAAGGTTATTAAGACATTATTTTTTAAGTGTGGGATTTTATAGAGGCAAATATACCTGAAGTTTGGATTTATAAACTTTATCAGATGTGGCCTGTCTGTCCCTAAATATTTAATAATTAATGGTTTTACTCTAGCCCCTGAGTCATTACTTCACTCTCTTTCCTTATTAAAATTAAATGAAGGTCTGTCTTCTTGAATGTCTAATTAGGAATTGGGTAGCTACATAATTTCATGTTCAGAGAAATCCATACTTAAGATTCACAACCACCTTCCTAATTTCTCCCTGTAATGCCTTGTTTACAGAGCAGAAAGGAAAGATGAGAAATATTAACACCGATGAAGGGTACCAAATATTGAGTAACAAACTATCCTTATCTCAGATGTGCCTATGTTATTTTCATTTATTTTTAGAAAGTTAGTTTTCTTTTGTACTTATAAATTAGATGGCCTGTAAATTGTTTTCTCACAGAAAAGTAAAAAATTTCAGTTTAAAAAGTAAGTTTGGGGGCCAACAGGTGTCGTGGTCATTAAGGCACTGGACTTCTACATGGCTGACTGCAGTTTGAGTCCTGGACCCAGTGGCTTGAAAATCACGTCAGTTGTGTGTGTATATGCCCAAAATCCCAAGAGGAGAATGGAGAAAAGGGTATTGTGACTTGGCCATCACCCCTCAGGGGTGATTTCTCACTTTCCCTCTCACTGTTTCTGTCTCTTGAACCCTATGGCAAAAACCTGAAAAAAAAAGAAAAAGTAATTTTGAAAATTATTAACTAGAAATCTCATTCCCTAAATGACTACCAGCTGAGAAGAAGCTATAGAATCTCATGATTCTCTTTGGCCATCTCTTTAGAACTGTTTACAGCTTAAAATATGACTTTTTTTTTTCAAGTATGTCTGAGAGAAAGAAAAAAACAAGTAATATTTATTGTTCCCCTTATGAATTATATTTTAAAATAATTTTCTCTGTTTTTTTTTCTGTTTTCTTTTGTAATTTATATTTAATCTGTTAACATTGTTTAGGAACTGGTTATACATGTAGAAATTATCCGTTGCTTCTCCTTCAACACTTGTACCTTGGATATATCAGTCTCTTGTTCTTCCCCTGTTAGAGAAAGAGCAAATAAAGAAGAGAGGTAAAAGCAGATCTTTCCTTTTGTGTTCTTAGTCTTCATTAGGCATTGGATAGTTCATTAAAGTAATGAATTGCAAGTATACCATTTTTTCCCAGAATCTTTACCTGTTTTTTTATTGCACCATGAGTAGTAGTTACGATTTTTGTATTGGTAATTCTGAATAGTTTGACATCTTAAATTGACATATACGTATTATAATCTTCTTACTGTTACATTTTTATTTTTGTATTTCAGCCCTGGTACCTGACAGTGTAAAGAAGGAGCTCCTACAAAGAATAAGAACATTCCTTGCTCAGCATGCCAGCCTTTAAGATTGAATTAGATTGTGTTGTTCTGTGGTTTATTCTGAAAGTAAAACTTGCCATAAATTAGAAATCAATTTCCCAAAATAAAATCCTTTTTTGTATGATGGTATACAGTTTTCAGTAATGATGTATACATTGTATTGATTTTTTTCCCTAAATGTGTTATTTTAATAAATATCTCATGAATGAGTTTGAAGTTTGCTTGGATTTTGAAATAGGACTTTGTCTTTATTACAAATTCACCAAGTTTATTAAGAAAAAGTCAGCAATTAATACAGTGTACGTACTTGCAAGTCTCTGTAACAACAAAGAAGTAAGCTGCCTTTCTTGATCATCTGCATATAGTGTATTCTCCTTTGAATCCCCGTAATATTTTATAAATTGTAATGGCCCATCTTGTGTTCCATTATTTGTCTTTTTAAAAATTATTATTATTTGTTATAAATTCTGAGGGTTAGGACTGGGTCTTACTCATCTTTATGTGCCTTCCTTATGCTTCAATGAATTTATCATCTAGTGGAAGAGAGAACATTTGCAAGCTGGCTCCATACCAAGCTCCTCTGCATACTCTACTCGACTGAACTTTGAAAGCAGAATCTTTTAATTGCAGCCCCACATACTAAGGTCAAGAAAGAATTTCATGGGAAATAACCTCCACCCATTAGCTTTACTCTGACATCAAGATTACCAAATCCAATGGACACATTTATTATGTGACGTCTGCTGGGAAAACAAAGTTGACCATCCTGCCACTTGGAACTCTTTCCTCATATTGTTTCTCCCTACCACTGGAAGTTCCTTCTGTTTCTTGTGAAGTACTTTTTGCTGTATGAGACTTTTAAATTATGGTGTTTTTTAGGGCTCCTTCTCGGGCCCACCAGCTAACTGGATATACTTTTTTTCTGGGTAAATCCCCAAAAACTCAAGTCAGACCATGACTTTAAATACCAGCAGGTTGATAAATTGCATCTCAAAGCCAGACTTCATGCCAGCCTCCAGACCCATATACCCAACTGCTATGGATCATCATCTTTGGATATTCCACAAACAATTCAAACTGACCATGTGATTTTTCCCCCAATAACTGCCCTTGCTGTCATCTCTGTGTGAATGGTACTTCCCAGACATGCAGGTTACCTTGAGGATTATGTTAAAATGCCGATTCAGAAGGTAAGGGTTATGACACAAGATTCTGTATTTTTGACAATTCCTATTGGTCCTGCTGCTGATTAAGGACCACTTTGAGTATAGCAAGGCTATAAGTTGTCTACTACTTGCCCTCCTAACTCCTAGTTCAATCCAGATTGTTGCAGTAGATTTCAAATATTTCCTTGCTCTAGCTATTCTATGCCTTCAATTATCTCTTCCACACTTGCCTAAGTGACCTTACTAATAAAATTGAAGTTGGGTCATTTTATTCCCCCTGGTTAAAACTCAGTACAGGTTGAAATTCAATCAGCATCAGGCTTTTTTGATCTAACATTGGCTTGTTTTGAGTCCCCAAAAGCATCAAGTTGTTTCATTCCTAAATACTTTAGAAAATCATCAGGCTAGAAAGCCCTTCTCTCCTACTTATTTCATTCCTATGTACCCTTCCAAATTCAGCTTGAGTTGCTGAAACATTTTGATACTCCTCTCTGATTTAGATTCCCCACCACTTTATTAAGCAGTTATGCATATGTCTCTTCAACACAGCGATTCTTGAGCTGTTGCATGCATATTCTAGCAGGGAGGAAACGACTTATTTACCATTGTATACTTAGCTGTGGATGAATGAATTCATGAATATATGAGAACATAAAAATTTGGATGTAATTGAGGAAAGGCTTCACATTAATTTTTGGTTGACTGGCAGAAAGAACAATTTCAACTTTCTGATTTTCAAATCTAGTTTTTGAAACAACTGGACTTAATTATGAAAGTTTTTTAAACCCTTGACACAACCACAAAACCTACCCAAAGAGCTTTTGTTTCCCTTCATCTTATGAAACAATGTTTTAAAGAATAATGGGGATGTTTCTTCTGTTACTGATTATCTGAAAGTAAGCAAACTTAAATGGTACATAGGAAATGTCAGAAATAGGTAGTTTTTACTTCATAGTACTGTATATGGAAACAAGCCAAAAGTTCTTCATAAAGATATATTTTAATAGCTCAAAAGAAAATATGAGAAAATGAAAACAAGTTAGAAAAAATTTTTGAAATGAGAAAAAAATAACTCAGTTGAAAACACTTCATAGCAATTTAAAGTACTAAGGAACTTAGATTTAATATGATAGTGCTGAGAACTCTCCCCACCTCTCTCCCCATGGCCATTAGGTTTCTTGGATACCTTGTAGTGTGCATCTAAAACCACTGATATCTTTCAAATAAACCAATTTTGTGAACATCTTGACTTACATCATTGACTTATGGAAACTAGGAATACATTCTTTAAAAGTCTTGCACCCCTTCATGCTCAGTGTTGGAAACTTAATAGGATTACTGTTATGTGGTTGCACTGGGTGAGTAAAATACTAATTAGGATTACTGTAAGCTCTTGTATAGGATTAAAGAAGACCCAGCTAAATTATTTATGTAATCACTTTGCTTTGGCATTGCAAGTATATCATTTGGTTGAACAGTGCCAAGCCAGGAACTGGCTTATGCTGAGGATTGGTAATTGGATATGGGACTTTTCATAACTTGATAAAAAGCTCTATCCAACTTATGAGAATGGTGACAGCTGCTGGGTAGCTGATGTTGGAAATGATCCAGTGTGTATGTGTGTGTGTGTGTGGTTTTAACCCTTGTAAATGGGGATCTCACATTACTCAGTGACTTTATAAACCCTTCATATTTACCATTAGAAACCACACAAGTCACTGCATGAACTACAAGAAAACCACATGAAAACTGCATGTGTGCAATCAGAATTCAGATTCTAGTCTCGTCTATAACACTAAATTACCAGGTAAGACTGACTCTCTTGCCTCTATTTCCTTATAATAGACCTAATAATGATGATCTTAAAATAATAAATAGGACCTTAACTATTAACACAGAATAATCAAAAAAGCAACATTGACTTGTTATCCTAGAAATAACTAAAAATTTGTACTTATTCTGTGTTTTCTAGTTTTATATATTGTACATGAATGACACTTGGGTAGAAAATGCTTTTTCAGGAAATTTTAGTTAATATTAATTATCATTAACTACAAAAATAAAGGTGACCAGCATAATTTGAAATAAAATAAATGTCACTGTAATAGGAGGGAGAGTTGAAATTATTCGTAGTCATTTTTATCCTTATTCTACTAGGAACTCTTTTGTGACATGTAATGCATCCCACTTATCTTTTGATCCTCAGTGTCTAACAGAGTGAATTTTGATAACTTATTTTGGATAAATAAGTGGGGATAAATTTAACTTATGCCTGTTTATTCTAAACTTCACATTATATTTCTTTTGTTGTTTTTTTTTTTCAGCAGCCACAAGGGGGCACTTGAAGCCTATATTTTGGTCCTTCCTAAGGCTCTGCAACTGTGTTGTATATTGTTTCAACAGGCTCTATTCCAATTTAGGTCAGCCCATTTTTTCAAGATGAAAGTGTTATTAAATTAAAACAATGTGAGGACTTATGAATGTGCTTCAGATGGAGTTACAATGAGATGTAGATATTTTGCTAGGATCACTTTTTGAAGCCAATTTCACTAATTTAGACAGGAAGTTGATTTAGACAGAGCATGACACTACTGAAATAGTTCTATTTCACTTATTTGTAAGATGAAGAAGGGGAAGGAGAAAGAAAGGAGAAGAGTGAGTCTTAGTACAAAATGAAAGAAAAATAATTTTCATTGACATGCTCCTCCTATTCATAGGGACTTTTAAAGGTAATGTTTATATTTTGCTTTTCATCTTATGTCATTTTGCTATGGTAAAGAAGGTTAAATAAAACATATAGTGCCAAACCCTGTGGACATTCAATGAATGCTGGCTTACGATGACAATGGTAAAGAAAGTCCATGAACAAAACCATATACTGATAGAATCAGCACCCATGGTGCAGTACTGCTCATAAAGTAGTTTTGAGTGCAAGAGCTGATGCCAGATTTCACATACATAAATACTTCAACTTTGTGCCTGGGGCCACCAAAATTAAGTGGTAATAAATGACTTTTAATTGCCATTTCCTTAACACTAACAGAGTAATCTTGGTTCTTACCCTAATTTTTTGTTGTTGAGGGCACATCCTTGAGAATGTATCCTTTCTAGATAGCAACTTATATCAAAGTTGGGGTTTGACAGTGCAAGATTCATAACATAGAAAAACTGAAATAGAAATGTCCATGAAACTGCAGCATGTCTGATGTGCTGGTGATTCACATAGCAGTATACATCGTGTGACTTGAGCACTCAGTTTGGCTGAGATACTGACAGTATGTGAGTGAGTGCTCTGGTTCTTTTGTCAGTTCTACAATTAATGTTCTTAATGACTTCATTACTTACTGAAGAGTTTCATGTTGCCCATCAACAATGTATCTATTTGCTATAGACAATGGCAGTATAAAATAAGAAGATTATTAGTATTGCTTTTGGAAGGTATGACCAAAAGTCAAATTTACAATACAGGACTTACTATATTGCTTAAATAGTTCTATAACTTGCCTTTATTAAGAAATTAAAACACCAGTTTATCGAACTATAATAAAAATCTAAAAAGTTGTACATATGTAGCCCAGCTTCAGTGGCACGCACTGCTAAGATGCTGTGCTCTGTAGGTTGGGACCACATAAAACCAAGTTAAATTCCCAGTCCAGTTTAAAGACTGGGTTTGATGGCTAGGACAATATCTTTAATATGTCCACCCCAGAAGGAAAAGAACTTTTATCAAGATGGCGGTAACTTCTGAAAGTTTTAAGTAGTTTGCAGATGTTCACAGATTTTTTTTTTTTTTTTCAAAAAGAAATATAGAGGCGAAGTATTTCAGAGACTGTCAACTAGGTCAGTCTTTATTTTGGTCTTCTAAATTAGCTGACTATCTTTTTTTTTTCTTTTGAAGTAAAAGACATAATAAAAAAAGAAAAAAAAAAAAGAAAGAAAAAATGCCAGACCAGCCTGTGACCTTGTGGTTAAGGTAGCTGGATCCTACACTGAACTGTACATTTCAAGTCCTAGACCTGGTAGCTTGAAATACAGGGTACATGTGCATGCATGCCCAAATCCCAAAAGGAGAAACAGATGGGGAAGAGATTGCAAAGTGGCCATTCCCTATGGGTGTGCTTTCTGACTTTCTCTCCCCTGCCCCCAGCTGAGCACATGAACCTCTGGCAAAATTAAAGACAAAAATTGCCAGGCAAGTCATTCTATGCATTAATCACTTTTTTTTTTTTCAAAATATTCTGAATACAACACTTATTTCAAAAATTTAAAATAGTAGCTTTAATTCAAACATTCTTGCTTCTTCCTCAGAAAAAAAAAATCCACGTAATTATGACCAGTTCATTTTTCTATATTAGGGTGTATACACATGAGACAGAGAGAAAGAGAGAGAATCCTCTACAGGAGATTGTCAAGTTATGATCCCTTTTCCCATGCCTTCCAAATCCTCAGGATCTTGGGCATCTGTGTGTATGCCTGATATGTTCTCAGGTGGACCCAAGGATCCAAATGCCCAGTTGTTATGTGACTTCCAATACTGCAGTCCATTTTGCTTGAAATTGCGCTATCTAATCTGGGCCTATGGTCAGTTGATTTCCAACAAGATGCCAAGAACACAAAATGGAAAAGTACAGTCTTAACAATAAATAGTGCTGGAAAAAAATGGATATATTCACATGCAGAAGTTTGAAATCATATTCTCATTTTCTACCATATATAAAAATTGATTCAAAATGCATTAAGCAGTTTTACATAAGACTTGAAACTATAAAATTACTGGCAGAAAACACAAGGAAAAGCCATGGCATTGATCTTAGTAATGATTTTTTGGTAACAGATTTATTTTTTTAATGTCAAAGTATGTGTACAATGGCTGGGTTGGGGTGAATAAGAAAGAGTGAAAGCACTCTAACAGGTCCTGGTCATGCTACAGTTCTTTTCCCTCCAATTCACCATCCCATCAGGATCCTGGGCACATGCATGTGAACATCCCTAGAATGTCAGCCACCAGGCTGAAACTTGAACCCTGGTCAGTTATATGGAATCCAGCTTCCTCTGTGCAGTTCTTAACTGCTGCATTAGAAAGCCTGCTATGGACAGTAATTTTTTTGATATTACTCCAAAATCACAGACAACGAAAGCTAAAATAAACAAATGTGATTACATCAAATGGAAAAGCTTCTGCACAGTAAACAGAGCAAAAAGACAGCCTACAGAATGGGAGAATATATTTACAAACCATACATCTAATAAGGGGTTAACAGACAAAATATATAAGGACTCCTAGAACTCAGTAGTAAGAAGACAATCTAATTTTAACTGGGAAAGGCACTCAATAGACATTTCTCCAAAGAAAACATACAAGTAGCCAACAGGTATATGACACAGTGCTTAATAAAACTAAACATCAGAAAAATGCAAACTAAAACCACAGTGACATACCACCTTGAACATGTTAGAATGGATGTTTTTCAAAGTAAAAAGACAGTGTTGGTAAGGGTGTAGAGAAATAGGAACCCTGGTACACTGCTGTAAATTAGTTCAGTCATTATGAAAAACAGCAGGAAGTTTCCTCAAACCATTAATAATGGAACTACCAAATGATCTAGCTATTCCACCAAGAAATTAAGCTTTATAAGGATAGAGATTTTTTTAAAAAATCAGTGCCATATTCTTAATGCTTAGGATGCCTAATATTTATTGAAAGACTATTATTTTTTACGTACTTCATTTTGTTCACATATCTTAAAATTAGGTTTCAAAATCAGGCTCCAGCACAGCTGGTTTTCCAAATTAGGTAAAACATTCACAGCTGAATGCCTTATCCCCTCTAGCAATGTAAGCATTCCCACCGACCGACCCCTTACCATTTTCTTTTTGCTTATAAGTCCAGAGATCAATAAGATTAATCAATGTCTTTAAAAAAATTTTTTTAACCATATGGCCAGACCAGACAGGTTACATAATTTGTGAGGCCCCACACAAACTGAAAAAATAATAAAATGGGATGCCTTTTGTCCAAAAGAATATTAAGGATTTCAAGATCATGACAACACAGCATTAAACAAGCATGGGGCCCCAGGCAAATGCACAGGTCACATGCCCACAATACCACCCCAATAAGAGGTCTTTGTTAGATTTCTGAAATATTACAAAAGAAACATGGGTTTAATGATCAGGATTTTCCTTTTATGTTTCCTCCTATTCAAATCCCATGATGAATCTGTATTATAAAGGTTTGAAGATGCTGAAGATGAATACAACTTAATTAATAAATTATGCAAACTATAAACGCCTTTTTCTGGTTCCAAGTTGACCTTTTGGTCATATAAATTTCCATCTAGTTATTTATTGTCACATTATCCCATTCAATTATTTTAATAATTCACGATTTAAAGTCTCACTGGTGTGCTCATTTTTAGGACATTTATTTATCATATAAATAAGCACTATTTAAAGGACAAAATAAGTTAAAGATGCTCATTCATTTTATGAGACTTTATTAAAAATTTATATATGCAAATTATAGTGCATGGCTCATTAAGATATTTAGACATTATAAGATAGGAAAAGGGTTAATTTTACTAGAAATAAACTTTTCTGAAGCTGGTTAGCCAAATGATCAATCTGCTAGATGACCAATTTGCTTAAATTGCCAAATTAAATAACCATAGTTTAGCAGTAATACTTATCAGTATTAAGAGGATTGTTTAATTTTTGTTACTATGGTGATATATATAGAAAAAATTATAAGTGAATAGATAATATTGAATATCACATATTGTGTATGTGTATATTATGTACACATATAACATAATACGGATATTGGGTCATTGAGAAAGTTGACTTTCCTGTCAACATGTATACACATACATTCATATACTTGCATATGTGTTCAACTTGTTCCAAGAAGACTTGGTAGGAAAGAAAGTGAAGCTTTCTGGAAGGGACTCTATAATGGGTCACATGATTAGTATGGGTTACGTCAAGAAATAAAATAAGATGCAGTAAGAATAACCATTCTATTTATTAAATATTGTATGCTAGTTTCTGGTTGATATGCCATCTGAAAATTCGGTGAAAAATTCGCTCAAAAATGTTAAAATTTGTGAAAACAGAAAAACAAAAATCAGATTAGTATTCTTCTTTGCTATAAACTACTGATATATGGAATCTTTCTATAGGAAAGTCTATTTCAATTATTCCTCATGAGAAATCATTTCAGTGTATAATATGGGATAAAAAATTTTCAATTAGTTCTCATTTATTTTATAGTATTTATGTATTAATTATAGTATTTTATAGTATTTATGGTATTTTCTACTTTTGAATGCCCAGAGCATTTTCATATTCTGTATCACTCAGCCTATCCCTCAATTCCATTTTAATTAATAAATTCAAAATCTTCTGAAAAAAAAAATCGGACCTTTGACTGAAATTGCATTCAAAATACATTTTAATGAAATCCTTCCCAATTTAAGCTAGGTTAAATTAATTTAATTTTAATTTGAAGGCAACAGAAAGAAGTCAAAATTATTCAAGATAATTTCATATAAAAATTTACACATTAAATTTTGTTTTGTTTATTAATATTAAAATATATACTTACACATTTCATAAGTAATAACTTGAATATTTTTGTTAATGCTGCTAAATTACTGTTGGTAAAGTTGTTAAGTTTTGCTATTTGATTTTACAGTTTTTAAATTTAGTAAATTTGGCAAATAATTAATTGGCAAATTGATATTCAATCAACTGCTTCTTTCAGTTGGCCTGCTTCCAGATAGAAGAAACGAAAGGAAGACTAGAGCCTGCAGGAATACTACTTTCATGAAGATAGGAGAGAAAAATATGAGGTAGATTGATTAGAGAACTAGGAAGAAACCTAAGACTATCCAGAGGAATGGAATTTCAAGAAAGATGTTCACAATGTCAAGTGCTACAGACAGTTCTAAGTAAGGTCACTGCTACCTTTGTAGACACTATTTTTAGGTAGAGAGGTGACTTAGGAAGGCAGTTTCTAAAACAGTATGAGATTAATATTATTAAACTGTAACAAAATAATTTTCTTAACTTCAGTTATATATAAACTCCTCAAGAACAAGGACCTGATTTTATTTATTTTACTTATTTTAGGATCATTTCTTCTATTTCTTTGTCCTTCCCTCCCAGCTAGAGCTGTCAGACGTGAGGCCAACCGGTGGTATAGGCCTTAAGGTGCCTGGATCCCATAGCCAACAGCATGGTTGGAGTCTGGACCAGGTTTGCAAAAACATACCAGGCACATGTGTCTGCATACCCAAAATCCTGAGAGGAGGGAGAAATGAAAGAGAAGTGATTGAGGCCTGACCATTCCTCACAGGGGATGCGTTCTCACTTTCCTTTTCTCTCTCTCTCTCTCTCTCTCTCTCTCTCTCTCTGTGTGTGTGTGTGTGTGTTCCTCTCTAGTGAGTGCACGTACGTGCCCTGTAGCAAATTACAAAAAAAAAATTAAAGAAATACAGAAAGCTGAGTTAAATTCGAATTTCAGGTAATAAAAGGAAAAAGGAAAAGGCAGCAAAATCGACGGAGAAATTGGCCATTGATCTTCGCCAGAGTAGTAAGTCCCCTGCATCCATGGGGACAGCTTGGGACATCAGTACCCAGGTTTGAGTGTGGAGGACTCAGTATTACAGACCTGACCCGGGTCAGCGACGTTCTCCCGCGGAGGTTCTAGGTGTGTGAGGGCGGGGGGAAGGAGGGTGTGCGCAAATCCTACCGGCGCAGCGCAAGAGCCGGGGGCGGGACCGGGCGGGCCTCGGTGGCCAAGTTCGCCTGTGCTCCTGGGGCCAGTCGGCGCGAGCAAGTGGCGGCCCGGGAGCCCAGCTCCAGAGCTGGCAGCAGCTGCGAGCACGGGCGGACTCCGCGGAACTGCCCCTGCGATGGGACACCTGTGTTTCTTGAGGATCTGGGGCCTCTGGGGTCTGCTGCTGTGTGCCGCGGATGCCCACACAGGTAACTGTCGAGGCGCTAGGGAGGCAAGCCAAGAGAGGTCCGCGTAGACACTACCTCTGCTCCTGGGGTAGCAGGAGAGGCTAGACGCGCCACCGGCACTTGCCCTTGGCGGGAGCTGTGGGTGAGGTTACATGGCGATCCTGGAGACTGGAGACCTGGAAGGCAGGCCTAACAGAGACAGAAAGAGACAGAACGATTGCTTGAAATTCACCACTGCTGCTGCTTGAATTATGATGCTCTCTACTCCCACCCTCCCCATCCTGAAGTGTCACCACTGAAGAGACTGAAATTTGGCTGGAGGACCAATCAGGGTGGGGGAAGATGACACCTGCGTTCTCCTTCCCCTCCCTCGCTCTTCTTGGGTCTTTTTCCCCACAGCAGGGAGGGAAGGTCCCCTAGTAGGACAGGAAGGGGTGTTCTTGGCAAGTGTCAGTCACTTCCTGCGGCAGCTGCCCTGGGACTTCAAAATAATACCCAGGAGAGGGTCGGGAGAGACTGATAAGAAATTGGAGTTGTCCAGGGAGATAAAACAGGAGGATGAACTTGAGATAGGTGAGGAGCAGCCTTGTCTGGAGATAGGATCCAACTCCCTGGCTGGAGTTTCCTACCCTTGGCTGTCTGGGGCCCAGGTTAGGAATGTGCGGGAAGCAGGAACATCTCCGAGCTCTTGGCAAAGACAGACCAGAAACAGAGGCTTTGGGTCTGGGGGCTGCAGAGCCTTTGCCATTGTAAATGAAGCCCACGCTAGACATTTTTTGACAAGAATAAATTATGTGATCATAATTCCCTTAACCTTTTCTCATACATTCATCTCAAACAATACTTTGTATTTTTTTTTAAGTGTGTGTATGTGTGTGTCTCCACTTAAATTTTTCTCTCTACTTTGGGAATTTGTTTTAGGACCTTAGCCCTTACCAGATCCATATAGTTTAAGAAGAAAATAAAAATGTCTAGGCCCTGCATATTTTTGCATTGTTTTAAAGAATTACTTGCAGTTCTCCAAAGGAGTGGCTTGCTCATCCCTGACTAGGCAGTTCCCTTTGTCTAGAAATCATTTTACCTTTCTAATAGTAGATCCATTAGAAACAGTCCAGGCTAGTTTTGTATTTACCCTTTGAGATGTGGGACAGGTAGCCCATTTTTCGAGAAGCTGGTGTGGCTCATGTTGACTGAGTGAAATTTCCCCTGTGAATCACCCATATTCCCTGGACTCTCTTCTGTCATCCTGTACACTCTAAGCTTTTGGAAAGTTTAAATTGTTTCACATTTCTGTAGCTTCAGGAGCCTAACAGTTTGTTGAATGAATTAATGACCTTTGCACTAAGAACTCATGATTGGGCCAGCAGATGGCATAGTGGTTAAGGCACTGGACTCCCATGTGGCTGACTGCAGATTGGAGTCTGGACTGGTGACCTGAAACTCATGCTGGGCACATGTGCATGCTTGCCCCAAATCCTGAGAGGAGAAGGGATTGTAGAATGGTTACACACCCTTAGGGGTGATGTCTCACTTTCTATCTTGCTGTGTCTCTCTGGCGAGTGCACAAGCCCTATAGCAAAAATCAATCGGAGGAAGGAATGGAGGGAGGGAGCGAGGGAGGAAAAGAACTTATTATTGTCTGGAGGCTAGAAAAGATCCCAGAAATGATCTTGCCTGAAGTCTCACTCTGTGATGGGAAACAATTTCTTCTTAAAAGATAAAAAAAAATTCTTGTATCTGGACTGTTCTTTCAACCTACCTAACACTGAACTTATGAGTTTTCATAATGATTTGTTTCTATGTGTGAGTGTTATCTTTTGCCACGTGGGCTGCTAAGCGTAGGGATAGATCTTCCCTTTGCAGAGAACTAGTGAAGTTAGCAGTTTAATGAGTGTTTTATATTATGATAGGTAAGAATGATGATATATTATCTCTGCTTTTTTTGTAACACCTAGAATAGTGCTTTTCACAAAGCCAGTGTGTACTAAGTTGATGACTCATTGATCAGTAATAGAGTCCAAAATAAAACCTGGATATATTATATTTTCAGTCCTAAAATATCCTACAATTTTTTTTTACAATGTCATGAAATTTGGTACAAAATTTGATGCTTAAAATGAAGAACTTGATGATTCTACCATTTCCATACTTTAATATTTTCCAGATGGCTCTAAAATAACCCCCAAAGTCACAGAAATAATACCTAAATATGGGAGCATAAATGGAGCAACAAGGCTGACTATCAAAGGAGAAGGTATGGTTGTTTTGTTGTTGTTGTTGTTGTTTTTGCCAAAGTCAATGTATTTTCAAGATTATTTTACATTTAGAGCTTTATGGTTAAAGAAAATCCCAACTGGTATTCTCCACTTGGCCAGAGTAATAAACCTCTATCCCCTTTGATAGGTACTGAAATCTTCAAGGGTCAATAACAACATGATCATCTGAATTATTATAATCATTTGCTTAATACCAAGATCTGGATTTAATGACTGAACTGAAAGAAATATCTTCTTTCTCCCCCAATTTTAGGACTTTTTAAAATTAGTCCTTAAGTCATTAAAGCAAAAATCATATAAAACATTCTGCTTTCCTTTATAGTTCCTCAACGCAAACAAAACAAAAACAAACAAAAAAACCTATTTGTAGGGAAACTATTTGTAGGAAAAAAAATGGTTTTGTACATGTGATGAAACAATATAAATTCAGAACTTACGGACAAGGGTTAGCTCTATCACTCATCCCTTTAAAAAGTGTATATGAATATCCAGTCAAAACCAACAAGAGTATCTCCCTTGAAACATTATTTCTGCAGCTTTCCAAGTAGACCAAGGACTGCACAATGTCTTGTAATGTCCTCAGAAGGCTCTATCGGTGACCAGTAACAGAGTAAAAACCCCAGACTCCTTTATTTCAAATGGAAAAGGGAAGTCGGAGGGACAGAGAAACTATTCAACTTCATCTTCTTTCTCCATGTGGCTTATGGCCTCCTCTTCTTCCTCCTCTGTCTCTTCTGAAGCTACCTCACCCTCCAAATCCTCCTTGTCCTCTACCACCAAATCCACCTCTGCCTCCTCTGCCTCCACCTTTGGCCTCCTAAGACTTTGCCTCCACCACTACCCCAGAAACCACTCACCTTCACCCTTCGGCTTGGCCCAGCACAAGATAACTTTGTTTCCATTGATTTCACCGTCTTTCATGTCCTTCTTGCCAGCTTTGGCATCTTCTTCACTGTTGAAGTCTATAAAACTAAGCCCTTTGGAGGATCCTGTTTCTGGGTCAGTGACTATCTTTGCATGAATAAAACCGTAAACTTGAACATCTCTTTGGTGATAACCTCAGACAGACCTTTGACAAACAGTTTTGGAGGGCTGACTTCTTTCATTAACTGATTGATCCCCTGGGTCCTTGGACTCCAACCCAATTGCTCTGCCTTCAATTTCTCTTTTGTTACAGGAATTTAAAGCTTCTTAAGCATCTTCAAGTGAAGCAAATTCTACAAATGCATATCCTTTAGATTTGCCATTTTGGCTCTGAGGCACTTTGATAAAAGTTGCCTTCTCAGATACTCCCTGAAGTGTTTTACATTGTAGGAGAGGTAGCTCAAAACCAGAGTTTTTGATTCACCACTCCAAGTGCTATTCTTTCCTCCTCCGTAGTCTTGATTTTGACCTTTCTTTCCAGCCTAGGATAGAGAAATGGACAGCCCTTCAATCTCTGTTCCCTGCTTTTCTTCAAAGGTTTTTCCTGCATCAGCTTCTATCTTAAATTCAATATAATCAATCCATTTACTTTTTCCATCTTTGCTGACTATTCTCATCTCCATGGCATCTTCAAATACTTCTTTTAATTCATCCTGAGTAACTTTGTAGGGGAGATTTTTGGACAAAAGTGTTCTTCCATCTCTCTTCCATCTCAATCTTTCTTATTGTCTTTTCCTTTTGGTTTCTCTAGTTTAATTTCATTGCCAAAGTCTTTTAAACCAGTGAGTCCCAAAGTTTTTTCTAGATCCTCAGCAGATTCAAAGTCAACATAGCCAAACATCCTAGATGTACCGATTCTGACATCCATGACAGCAAGATCATTTTTAGCAAAAACATCACTAATACCAGTTTTTAATTCAGGAATAGATTTGTTATTGTTCAGGTTTCCAATAAACCAATGGAAGGATGTACTTGGTTCTGTGTCTTCCACCTTCTGTTTCTTGGCCTCAGGAGATACTTTCTGTTTGGTCATTTCCTTCCTTCATTTTCCAGGAGCTTCTTTGACAGGCTCTTCTTCTTCCTCTTCTTCATCATCCTCTTCATCTTCATCTTCAGCCATGGTCTGAAGATGAAGGCACAGCTTTTGCAAGTGTTTTGAAAGAAACATGTTTAAGTTCACTCTGCAATTATTTGCTTTATTCATCAAGACTGCAATACCATTTAATTTATTCTTATATTAAATGAAACATTTTAGGGTGTCGGGATAGAATGTGACTAAGAAGATATGACGGAAATAAAATATTAATGAAAAAGGAAAGGTAATAGAAAGCAAAACTTTGGACTCCATCTCCTGCCACCCAACCCCTATCGTACGTTTCATTGTAGCATGGGTTACGTATGATTCATTTTCTCCTTACCATGAAACATAGAAGTTAGAAGTAGGGAAAAAAATACTATTCTTAAGACATTTTAGAGGAGCATTCTTGTTAATAAAACTATTACTTTTGCTATTTTGCAGACATTCTGGGGTAGTTACACTTAGGACTCTAAATTAATGAAACATGAAGTGTCATGGTAAATTTCTACTTTCTCCTTCAATCCCAATTTCTGTATTGGGCAGGGACTGATAGAAAAATTAAATCCAATTTTAATTGCTTATACTTTTGTCCTCACCTTTGTCTTCCCTCTACCTGCATTAACTCCACCCTAGAGGTGACTAAAAGTGTGTTTTCATGTGTATTTCTCAGAGGTTTACTCTAAATACTGATTTACTGCTTTATTGAATCAGAGAATAGAATGGTGGTTGTCAGGTACTGGGGTAAAGAGAAACGAGGAAGTATTGGTCAAAAGGTATATAATTTCAGTTATGCAAAATGAATACATCTTAGAGATCTACAGTATAACAGAGTACCTGTAATTCATAATAGTGGACCATGTCATTAAAATTATCCTGAGAGGGTAGATGTTATGTTAAGTAGTTTTATCACAAGAAAGTTAAAAATGATAGTATTAGGAGAAATTTTTGGAAGTGATGTTTATGGCATTGCTTGCGTTACTGTTTTGCTGTATACTTATCTCCAGATTTATCAAGTTGCATATGTTAAATATCTATAGCTTTTTATGTGTCAATCATACCTCAGTAAAGTGATTTAAAACAAAAATGACCAAATACTGTTTTAATATAGGGTTTGGGGTGTCCTTGTATACAGAAATTGTATAAAGCATTGCTAATAAGTTTGCAAAATACTCCAGAGCTCCAATAGCTACATGAATGAACTTAAGCAAATTCTATTTGAAAGGATCACATTCATATAACTCTCTAATACTGTCTCTGATTAGCAGATACTTCAGTTTTTAGTTGCAAATGGCACTAATTTATTAAATCACACAAGAAAATTTTCTAAATGAAATTGTAAATTCCAAATGATTACCTAAATGTTGGTCCCATATGGCTTTTTAATGTTTTATTTTTGTAAAAGTTAAAAGAAAGCAAAATACAGAAATGCTTCACGTAGGAAATGAGACCAGCAGATGTAGTAATGGTTATGTGCCGAACTCCCACATAGTTGACAGCAGTACCAGTCCCGGACCAGACCGGTGGTTTGAAATTCACACCGGGCACATGTGTATGTGTCCCCGAAATCCTGAGAGGAGAATGGAAGAGAAGGAGTTGTTGTATAGCCATCTCCTGGTGTGTGTGTGTGTGTGTGTGTGTGTGTGTGTGTGTGATTGCTTGCTTTCTGTCTCTGTGTCTCCAGTGAGCACATGTTCCCTACAGTAAAAAGCTCTATTAAAAAAAAAAAAAAGAAAAAGAAATGAGTTCTCTGAAAGATCTACTCTTAGCATTGCGGGATATCCAAGTGACTTTTGTCTATTTCCAAATGTGATATTGACTCTTAAAACAAGAGTTTAATAACTGCATTACTTTTCTCAAAAAGCTATACTTTAAGAGCCAAAGATTTTACAGTGATGTTACCCAAGTAAAGATGTTTTTAGCAATGTCATTATTGTAGAAATAATTGTATCTACTTCTAAGATAACTGATCTGATGAAGAGCATTGCCATCCTGAAAAGTTCTGAAGTGTTTATAACTATACTGCTGTTATTTTATAATTATACCTCATATTTTTCAATTGTCTTGATATCATGTTCCTTTTTACTAAAAAAATCAGTAGGATGAGAAAAGTAGCACTTTACTTTTGGCTCCTTTTTTCTTTTTTTGAAAGCTATTTCCCTATTATAATATCTGGCATACACATTTTGTTAAAATAAAGGATTATGTACTTTTTACAATATTGTGCAAAGCAGATGCACTTTAGTCCAGTCTGAATGGCATTCAGTTCCATCTTTGCCATTTTGTATTCTACGTCTCTGAGTCTTAACTTCTTCCTTGGTAAAATGCACCTATAGGGTCAACAATGGTGTAGAGGTTAAAGCAGCTGGATCCTACATGGCTGACTGAGTGGTTCACTCCCCCTCAGGAGGCTTGAATAACATGCCATGGACCTCTTGTGCATGCCCAGAATTCCAAGAGAAGAATGAAGGAGAAGGGACTGTGGTGTGTCTATCTCCCTTGGGGAATGATTTCTCTTTCTCTGGCAAGCACATGTGCCCTAGCAGACAAAGAAACAAACAAAGTGCCTCTTGGAACTATTGCAAATATTGAAAAAGATGATGTGTCTAAAATGCTCATTACTGGGTCTCTCTCCCTCTCTCTCTCTCTCTCTCTCTCTTTCTCTCTCTATATATATCCTAAAACTTAGAGCCATGTATTATTATTTTTTGCATTTCTGTTACAGTCTTGGCTTCATTCTTTAGAACTTATCTTCCATCTGTCACATTGCTTTGAATGTTACCACTTTTAAATAGGTTAACTTCTCTGTATTACTTTTTCTTTACTAGAGAAACCAAAACAGCCTGCCTTGTACAGGACAACAGCTGGCTTTAACAGCTCTGACATTTTCCATGAGAGCAGCACAGGCGTTACTTTTGGATTGCTGCTATCAGGAGACCCAGGTTTTCGTGCCTGGCAATTCCTGTCTCCAGTTTTTCTGCAAAAGAAAAAAAATATACACCAACTATCAGGAATTTCCATTCCAAGCCTCAACCTTTTATGTTTCCAGGGTACACCCAACCCTTCCTGTAATCTCTGTGCTTTGGAGTACTTCCAGTGGTGTCTTCTTTATGCCTAATTAGTTGTTTAGAATTACGCTCTAAATTAAATTTTTTAAAGAATGACTCTCTTATATTTCTTTTTAACTCTTTTGAATCAGCTTAAAAATGAGAAATATTCCTAAACTTGTATTTTTGTAAGCAAAATTTATAATGAAAATATTTATGAGTCCTCTCTGGGTTCCTATTTTTCCATAACTTGTTCTCTTAGGACACTTTCACATGTATATATTTGATATTATAGCAACTTCTAAGTTAAAGATGGTTTCATCTTTTGTTGGCATTATTTTTCAAAATTGTAGTAGTTGTCTTAAAATGCTGAAGAAGAGATGTTACCTTATTTGTTGATATGGCATGTACCTTATAAAAAATAAATATGTGTATTATCACATCCTGAACCACACCACAAGTAAAACTTTCCAGTCTTTAGTTAGTTGCCAACAACCCTCACATGTCTCCCAAATTCAATGTGAACTCTAGAGATAAGCAGAAGTTTGCAAAAGGAAGGAGTGGTTTATAACTAGCTTGCTTTGGTATATTTTCATGTGTCTTCTCACAATTCCTCTTTAGTAGTAGCTGTTTTTCTAGATGCAAAACTGAAAATCCAGGGCTACTATCTTTTCATATGTAAACTTGATGTTTGTACTTTAGTCTCTGCTGCATGAATCATTTGGTTAAAGTTTAAGTTCAGAGAAATAAAGTGGTATTTATTACAATGGCTACCTTTTATTGAGTTTATGCTTGCTTTCCTGTATGCAAAGGAAAGGAGAGGAGAGGATAAAACTAGTATTATAAATAATACATCTAAATTATAATATTATTTATAGTATTATAAATAGTGTTACACACAAGATTTAAAGGAGTTAAGTCTACATCTCTGGGTTTACCATTTTGTTCTTTTCAATGTTAAGTTTATTATCATTTGAAGGATGGTGTAGTGTACAGGCAGTTAAGTTCTGATAGCTTAATAGCCCATAAATTTACATATAACATGGGTGTAAATCCTCTCGCATAAAAGAAAAAGTTTTATAATTTCAAATATAGCACTATCAACTTGGCTGTTTTAATGCTAAGTAACTGTGATATTAGAAGAAAAACACTGTTTTTAAATGCACATATTTTTAGAACTCAGAACTTGGGAATTTTAGATGTTAAAGTAATCTAGGCAAAAACTGTTTATTTCCTAAATTAACATTATTCAAAAAATATTAGAATATAGACAACATCAGAGATGGCTGCACTTTGCATACAAGAACAGTCTAAGTACTTTTCAATGCTTTTATAAGAAGAATGTCTAATTATAAGATTTAATTATTAATAACAAATTATCCAATTAATCTTCTTTATAGGCATTGTTTATTGGGTTAATTTCACAATCAAATCTTCTTTTAACAATATAAAATGTTTTTATGTGGCATAAAATACTAAATCTGTGTTTAATTACTTCCAAATATAGTTTTGAATTTTCATAAATTTATAATAAGGTTAAAGTAACTTTCCACTCTGTTTCACATTGTCATTCCTCTCTTTCTTTTGGCTCTACCCATTAGCATACAAACATACTGTGACTTTACCCACCTGAAAAAAAGCAAAAGCAAAATCACCAACATTCTCCTTGCTCCATACTCCTTCCCAGCTACCACCCATTTCTCTGCTTCCCTTTATAGTAAAACTCGTAAAAAAAATATTACTCGTATTTGTTGTCTTCACTTATTGTCCTCCACCTTTCTGTTAAAACCATTCCAAACATTTATCCCATCATTTATTCGATGGCTCTCTGAGAAGCATCTTTACTCCTGCCTCCAGTCTATTCTTAGGACATTAGCTAGTGAGTGATCTGGAAGAACGTAAGTCAGGTCATTCTACTCTTCTGTTTCAAAGTTTTCAGTGGTTCTCTCTCATAAAAATAATCTATAAACTCCGCATTTCTGGTCTCCTCTCCTGCCACTTCTCCTCACTCATGTTCTTCAGCCATACCTGCTATTATTTGAATCCACAAATGTGCTTCCGCCACAGGATGTTGGCATTTTCTGTCCCCTTTATCTAAAATACACTTATCATGGATATTTTCATGGCTTGCTCCCTCTGAAAAACACTACCATGATTGTCTATATCATGTGCCTCTTGTATCCCACTTCGCATATTTATAACATCATTTCTGATTTCACTTGTAAATGCTGCAGTGTGGTTCCTGGGCTCTTTTAACTCACTTTCTACTGTCAGCCTCCCTGATAGGCAGAGCTGTGCTCAGTATACATGGCCATCAGTGGCTTTACATGGAGAGAAGGGCATCGAGGGTAAGGATACACATGCACTCCTAGGAAGTGGTAGATGATTTGTTTGATTGGTTAGGGGTTGGTGGGAACAGTGCTGAGAGATTAGAAGCAAGAAGGAGGCATGTAAAAGGACTGATGATAATGAAAACTAAACATGCAAATCTACATGTCTCAGGTTAACTCTCATGAGAGAGTATCCCTCACAGAGGAGCTGAAACAAACAGACTGGAAGATTCATCCAGGAGCTTCTCTTCCTGCTGGCTCAGTGCTTGTGCAATGGGCCCATGAAGAGTGGCCATGGTCAAGGCTACAAGTGGTCCAACACCATGCACTTCCTTCCACCAAGGCTAAACTACCTATTGATAGTGCTCAATGCCTGACCAGAGACAGCAAGGACCAACACTATGGTCTCAATAGGATACCACCACTCAGAATGTCTACCCAGCTGCCTAGTGACAACAAATTACATTATTCCCCACCTCTCATGGGAATAGCATTGATTCATTGTTCCTACCACTGACACCTACTTGAGATAAGGGTTTGCTTTTTCTATCCACATTCCTTCTGCCAGCACCATCTTCTGAGAATCCGCAAAGTTAACAGCCATGGGATTCCATAATATATTGCCTTAGAATACTGAAAGTATTTTATAATAAAACAGTTGTGATGTTGGGCACATGACCATGCCATGAAACCTGTGTTACTCTGAAACATCTAGAAAAATGGAATGATAGAACAGCCTGTTGAAACCCTGTCTGAAATGCGAGCTTGGGAACAACTTCCTGTGGAATGGGATGCTGTCCTCCATTATATGGTATATGCACTGAACCAATGGCAGATGTATGCTGTGTTTTTTCAATAGATAGAATGCATGGAACTGGAAATAGTTGCTCTTTAGTATCACTCCCAATGACCAAGAAATGGATTTGTACTTTCAATTCTTTTAGCGTTAAGTTCTCCTGGAGTTGTGATCTGAGTCTCCAGGTAGAAAACAAATGCTTTCACCAAAGGTCCCAATATGGTTCCATGGAACTAAAACTACCACTACTACTGATCTGTTTGAGTTCACCAAGCACATTTAGTAGACTAGTAGAGATTATTAGTTCTGGTTATCATGAAGAAGTAGGGTTGTTGTCACTTATTGCAGATAGGGAGATGTATATCTAGAGTTCAGGGCATTCATGGGGGTACCTCTTGGCTTCCATGGTCAATGTGATAGGAAACTATAAATGGGCAATTGCAGCAACCACATCCTTAAAAGGCCAAGAAAACTAAGGGCTCAGAACTCGCAGGGATGAAGCTTAGTATCACCCATTAGTTGAAGTGCTGGCTCAGGGTAAGGGAAATCTACAATGGATGATAGAGATGAGCCTAAGCAATATTAATTATAAACTCAGGACCAGTCACGGTAGTATGACCTGTGGCTTGTCCCACTAAATCTATTATATCTATAACAGAACTCTTGGCTGGAGACTGCCTTGAAGACTTGGTGATGATATTTTGCTTAAAGCGTAGGGCACGAGCAGTTCCGTGTGGTGTAAGAGGTAGACTCTATCAGATGCCTTTGGTTCTCAACCTCACATCCTTTTGATCTTGTCTCTAATTCTAGCCACAGCTGTGACATTTGACTGAATCTATGCATCCAGTTTCATGCCCGAAGTTGCCATGGCATATTTTTGTCAACTGTCTAAGGACTTCTCTGATGTAGTGACTTAGAATGCTGGAACCCATATTGCATGCTCCTGTGTACAGGAAGTTACTTCCCCCTTGGGGAACTCTCAACCAGTGAGGACAGGTTTCATGAATAAATATATTTTGCATTGATTCTCTGATTCAATAAAGCATTCTATATTTTCTTTAGAAATTCTCAGCAAGATTGAGTTCTATCACCCTCAGTGGTACCTGAATTTTATTTTTCCAAATTTTATTCTCCTTCATCCCTGAGGGATCGCCTACAAAATAAACTATCTATTTGTAAGAATACACTTCAGATGTTGCTTTATAGGAGCTCGAGGTAAAGATTTCATCTTTCATAAAATAGTGTTTCCTTCCCCTACTCTCTAGCTTCACTTCACCTGCCTTTTTTCTACCTTCATTATTTCTACTAGAGTATCCAGTAATATATACACACATTAAAGCAATTTTTTCAAATATATTAATTAAACAATTGTGCTTCTCAAGAGTATTACAATCATAAGGGTAAATAGGAAATAGGTTAAATGTTTTCTTCAGGACTATTTATTTTTATTTCCTGAGTGATTCATTATTGAGTGAGAGTTGTTAGATCTCTGAAAATAGAACTGATGATTGCTTTTTTTTTTTCCAGGTTTTTCTCAAGCAAACCAGTTTAACTATGGAGTTGATGATGCTGAGTTGGGAAACAGTGTGCAATTAGTTTCTTCTTTCCAGTCAATTACTTGTGATGTAGAAAAAGATGCAAGTCATTCGACTCAAATTACATGCTATACTAGGTATATCTTAAACTTCATTTGAATCATATCAGAAATCACAATGATATATATTAGTATTAGAATAGTTTTAGCATGAGTAATGTATTTCTGAGTATCAGTTAGTATTTTTGATTTCACGCTTCTAATAATACTTTATACCTTTATTAAATTTGATTATAATACTTTTTCCACATAATGGCATGCTTAAATGTATTCTATGTCCTTTTACATATTATTAAAGCTGTTATACTTATTGAGCTCTTTTGGAAGATAAATGACACTATTATATTACAATGGTATGCCTCAAAATAGCAAAATTATGCTTTCCTATCCAGTTTGATTCACTTTGTCCAAAATCTCCACATAGTCATTAAGAGTAAAGATAATCATTTTATAGAGTGACATTTCAAGTCCCTTACTATCAGTCCAAATGTATGTGTATTAATTAGCAACTTAGAAAAAAACTTAAATCATTTTAAATTGTAACTTTTAATACCGACCTCAGAAACAGGTAGCATATATTCCAAAGGATTACGTTTACAGTAGGCTTGTTGGCTGTTTTTCAGAAGCAAAAACTTAGTTAGGGAGAAACTTGATTAATTGATCCATTTAAAAAATAAAACATAAAGTATCAAGTTGAAATGTCATTGTTTTAAATGATTACTGTTACATTAGTTGTTATTGCATTGGTTGTTCTATTTTTTAAATAAAAGTTTATTTTATTTAATTCATGAGAGAACCTCAACAGGTTCTTGTCACATGGCAATCCTGTTGCCTCGCCTTCCACCCAGCCAGGATCCTGGGCTGCAGCCCAGTGTGTTTCAGGTTGACCTAGGATCTAAACCCTGGTCTTCCACTTGGTCCAGCATTGCAGAGTGGTATGCTGCCACCTGTGCCACTGCAGCTGGGCCTGCTGTCCTTTGTGTGAAGCAGCAGTGTGTGTAGTCAGAATAGGCATTAGCCTGAGTTTCATTATACCAGAATTTGCAATATAGGGTGATTCAGGATGAAGCTCATCTTTCCATAATATAAACTTGAATTTAACTCTATATTGATCAGATTCTAGCTACTTTTTGTTTTGTTTTGTTTTTGCCATAGGTTGTGTGTGCTTGCTTGAGGGAGACAGAGAGAGGGAAAGTGAGAAATCCTTCCCCCCACCCCGGGGATGGGCATGCCAAATTCCTTTCTCCTGTGGTCTCCTCTTGGAATTTTGGGCATACACACACATCCCATATGATTTTCAAGTCACTGGATCTGGGATTCCAACTGGGGTTGGTCACATGGCAATCTAGCTCCTTAACCACCACACCACCTACTGGCCCCAACTAAATACTTTTTTTTTTTTTCCCAAAAAATGATCTGTGGTCCAGGGCAATCTTTTTCACTAATGCTATACATTAAATAACAGAATTATCATATTCCTCATATTTATTTACTTACCTTTCAGACCAATGCCAGAAGATTCCTACACTGTTAGAGTCAGTGTGGATGGGGTTCCTATCACAGAAAATAACACCTGCAAAGGTCACCTGGATAGCTGGGCATGCAGCTTCAACGTACGTGGGGCTCTCCTCTTTAATTTACATATACTCAATTTTGTTTTGTTTCTTGGAGAACCATGTTATTTTTACACATTATTATCTATTTCCACATAAAAATATATTAATATATAGCTAAGGATAATTTTCTTATTTTAATTATCTTCTGTAGTAACTGAATCTCTTTTGTTTCTGATTTCCCCCTCCTTTATGTTAATTTTCTTAGTTTTATACCTTCAAATTAAATTATTTTCATGTTCACATATCCCCCCTTCTTTCTTCATGTCTGCTTTTAGTTTGATCTTCCTTTTCCGTATTTTCATCAGACTTACCAACTCATTTCATTTTATTCTTTTATATTTGCTAAAGGGCATGCGTACTCACTGGAGAGAAACAAAGAGAGAAAAAGAGGGAAATTGAGAAAGCAACCCCCGTGGGGGTAGTCACACCATAATCCTTTTTTCCCATCTCTTCATCCTTTCAGGATTTTGTGCAGGCTTGCACATGTGTCAACATGTTTCTCGAGTTGCTGGGTCTGGTATTCAAACCACACAGTCAACCACGTAGGATCCACCTGCTTTCACTGCCATGCCACTAGCTGGTCCACTAATCTATTTTAAGTAGAAACATAATTAATTTTCCTTTCTATGTAATTTCTAATGTAATGATATGAAATATGCCTCCATGTAGCATACGAAACACTTGAAATTTAGTTGCCTAATACATTTTCTTCTAAGCATTATCCAATATATTTTTAATAAATTGTATTTATGGGGACCAGCAGTTAGTGTAATGGCTATGTTGCTGGACTCTCATGTAGTCAACTGAAGTTCAAGTCCCGGACCCAGTGGCTTAAATTCACATGAGGCATGTGTGCGTGCATGCCTAAGGTCCCGAGAAAAGAATGGAGAAGGGATTGTGGCGTGGCCATCCCTCCTGGAGGGTGATTTCTCGCTTTCTCTCTCTCTGTCTCTCTCTGTCTTCTCTGTCTTTCTGGTGAGCGCATGTGCTCTATAGCAAAAAACAAAAACAACAAAAAAAAAAAACCTCTAAAAAAATTGTATTTATGTTACAAGTTCTCAATTACTGAGTACTACAGTGTAAGATGAAGTGCTTAGGAAAACAATAATGACATCTGTCCTCAAGAATTTCACATAATTCACAAATATATTGCTCAATGATTTCTACATATCTCTAGCTCCCTTTTCTTTCTCTGGTTGTGAAGCCATGTTTTGTTTCCTAGTGCATGATACTTAAATGGTCTCAAAACCACCTAAATTCACAATATCTCAAAGTGAACTTTTTGGATTCCTCCTTAAACCTTCTTATTTCTCTGCTTGTCACTAATCAAGCCAGAAACCTGTTGGCTTTCTTTGCCTTTTATTTCAGTTCCATACTAATTCAGAAAGCAAATCATGATGTTCCTACCCTCTTAGCCATCTTTTTCCTATCCTTTCTCTTTGTAGCCTTTGTTTTGACCCTAATCTTACCTTTTCTCTTGGTTAGGGTCATATTTTTCCTTTCACAGTAGCTAATTCTTATTTTGCCATTTAAAAAGGCATTGGTAGGCCAGCCTATGCCTTATGGTTAAAAGAGTGGGGTCCCCACATGGCCTACGCACGGTTGGAGTCCTAGACCTGGTGGTTTGAGAAACACAATAGAGTTGTGTGCATGTCCCAAATCCTGAAAAAGGAGGGACCTTATGGAAAGTGTTTGGTCTCTCTCTTCCTTTCTCTCTCTGTCTCTCTCTCTCTCTCTCTGGCAAACACACATGCTCTCTGGCAAAAAAAAAAAAAAGACATTGGCATATATTTCTTTGAAAAATAATAGCTAATAATATAGCATTTACTATGTGCCAGGTAGTGTTCTAAATATTTTATAATTGTTAACTCTTGATTCTCATAATAATCTTCTAATAGTATACTAATATTATCACCTGTATTTTATGGATGATAAAACTGAGGCACTGAGAAATTTTATTACTTATAAAAAGTCATGCACATAGGAAATTGTAGAGATCAAGAAGTCTGAATTCAGACAACCTGACTCCAGAATAAAAAGTTATGCACATAGGAAATTGTAGAGATCAAGTCTGAATTCAGACAACCTGACTCCAGAATCTGTTCTTAACCTTCTGTTTCATATATGTACCTGAGTATCCCTAACAGGTATGCATTGGCTTCTTATGTAGTATCATGAGAAATTACCATTAGTTTAGTGGCTCACAGCAGCAATATTTATTATCACATAGATCTAGAGATCAGAAGTTTGACAACGGTCTCACCAGACTAAAATCAAGGTGGTCTAGGAGGGGCTGGTTCCTTTTGGAGACTGCAGGGGAGAATCTGTTACCTTGCCTTTTCTAACTTCTAGAGGCTGCCCACATTCCTTGACTTATGGTCCCCTTCCTCTGTCTTCAAAGCCTGCAGTGGTGACCAACTCCTCATCATACCCCTGAATAATCCAGAATCATCTGCCTATATTTTAAGTTCAGCTCATTAGCAAACTTAATTCTATCTGCAACCACCTGCCATAGAACCTAATATATTTGCAGAGATGAGGGCATGATCATCTTTGGGGAGCCATTATTTGCTCTACTACAGGTATTAGAGTTTCTATGGTGACTTCCCTGGAATTTTCTCTCTTTCATTTCTCATTTAGTGTAACATTTCTCGAGAATTATTCCTGGGTTGTTCAAGAAAATTATCAGTAGTGTTGCTAGTGAAGATTACTCTGCTGAGTCTTTTTTTTTTTTCCTCACATTTTGCTTCTATGTTTTGCCGTGTTATTTTTTTTCTTCATGAGCTTAACCAAAAGTAAGCTCTTTTTTATTTTATTCCACCAAATCTTAAGTCTTTACAAGAGAGCCCCATCACTGTAGCTTGGCTCACACTGTTAACAAAAGGAAGAATACACTGTAAAATTCCAGGCTATTTTGAACTGAAAGGGGACTTTTAGGAGATAAGGAAAAGACCCAGAATAATCAGAAAGTGTTCTAAGCTTTATTTCTTGTCTGTAAATGAACTATTTTGACAGTTATAGAGGCAGTTGAAATATAAGTAATGTAAGAAATAGACCCATTCCATAATACTAGTGCTATGGTTTAAATGTGTACTCCCAAAATTTATGTATTGAAATTTGGCTATGACAGAATTAAGAGGGTGAAAAGTTACTCTATGATGTTGACAGGTGGGGCCTTAGGAAGAAAATTAATGTAAGTATCAGGGTGAGTTCTTCATGATTGAGTATGTGTGGGTTTCTGAGGGGACATGGACAGAGACACACATGCTCTGCTTAATCTCTTGCCATGTGTTGACGTACACCATTTTTACAAGAAGACCTCATCAGATGTGGCCTTTTGACCTCCCAAAAGGAAGTAAACCTAAGGAAACCTCTATCTTTTATAACTTACCAAGACTCAGGTAGTTCTGTTGTTAAAAACACAGTACATTAAAACAACAAGGAACAAAATAGAGATAAGACAATTTATTATATTACTATTTTACAGGCAAAAAGTTTCAGAACCCCAACAATAAGGAGCATCACACCTTTATCTGGAACTCCAGGTCTGTTATAAGACAGTTAAAATACTGTTAAGTTTTGTGATTATTAGTTTATTTACTTTTTAGTATGTGAACTTATTATAATACCAGCAAACTTATAAATAACACTTTTCTGATTATAAACATTACTAAAAGTTTTAACAATGATTTTCAATGACTGGATCTTAATCAACTATACTGTATTTAACTTTCTCCCCAATTGGACATTAGCTTGTTTTCAGCATTTGTTAAAATAAGTATAATTATGTAATCCTCACAGTAATATGAGAATACCCTTTTCTGTAATTTTAACAATTCTAGATACTACTTTTTTCAAGTATTTACATAAAAAATATAGTAGGTTTTTACATTCCCCCCCAAAACTTTAATTTATGTGATTTTTTTAAAAGAGAGATTTTTACTATAGAACACCTATGTTCACCAGAGAGACAGAAAACAAGAAATCACCCCTGAAAAGGAAATGGCCATGCTGAGCATCAATCCCGCATGTGTTTTAAGCTGCCAGGTCCAGAACTCGAACCACAGTTGACTAGGTTGGAAGTCCAGCAACATAACCATTATGCCAACTGCTGGTCCCCTTATATGATGAAATTTATGCTTGCTGACCATGCATATTTTTCATTTTATGTATTACGTGCTCATCTCCTTGCTCATCTCCTTGCTTTAAAACTAGTCATCATTTTTCATATTAAGTTACAAAAACTGTATTTCAAGGATGTTAAGCATTTATATACCATTTATGTAGGATTATTTGCTTTAAAAATCTTTTGGGTTGTTGGAAAAATCATGATGCATATTTTTCTCTGCAAAAATACATCATGACTCTTCTGATGACTCAATATTAGTGATTTTTCTGTTATACAGACCAATTTTAATTTTTATTATCAAATCTATAGATCTTAACCATTGTTATTTCTTTTTTCATTTGTATATTATAGAAGATCCCACTACCCTGACCACATAACTATTATATACATTTTTTAAGAGTTTTTATAGTTTTATTTGTGTATTTAAATTTTATTTCATCTAGGAGTTATTTTACTTTTTGATATAAAGTAGAAAATTTTAAAAATAAATCACACATCCACCCAAGCAATATTTATTGAATAATTCATCTTGTCATTTCTCGATAAATACTGAGAAAATTTTTAGAGTTTTGATTTTATGTGTATGGATAGATATTCTTATGCTTCTTCATTTTTTTTCCTCCAGGTTCACTAATAACAATTCAAGGCAGAATCTTCACTGATGTCTATGGGAGTAATACTGCACTAAGCTCAAATGGGAAAAATGTTCGGATTTTGAGGTGATTTTTAAATGTGGAAATGTATTTTTATAACTTGTGTTAGGGATATGTTACTTGAAAAAATGATGGGTTCTATTATTACTTATTTATTTCATTTTTAGAGAGAGACTTTTTGCTATAAGGTGTGTGCACTCTCTAGAGTGACAGAGAGAGAGAAAGCAAGAAATCACCCCACAAGGGGGATAGCCATACTGCAATCCCATCCGCATTTGCCTCTCTGGATTTTGAACACACATGCACACACGCTCAGTGTGAGTTTCAGGCTGCAGGGTCTGGCCATGTGGGAGTCCAGTACTTTAACCCCTTTGCCTCCTCCTGGCCCCAGTAGGTTCTATTATATTAAACACTACCACAATGTGATAGGACTAACCACTATTTTCAGCCATATTATAGGAAGAAAAACAGATTATTGAATGAATCATTGCCATGGAAACCATGCTCAGTATGCCTTCCTTTTTGGTCTGATGTAATTCCTTCCGGTTCTGTGATGGACGTTATTCATAGAGGGCATGTGGCCACAAGTCTGATAGTAATTGAGTCATAGAACTTTATTAATGGCGGACTTTGTTATTTAATCAAACTGCCTCATTTTGCTTATAAAGAAATAGGTCTGGAGGTCACATAGCTTAGTCACAGTCAGTAACAGAACTCAAGTCTCCTAATACCCAACTTGGTGTGTTTTCTACTGCACTGTGGTGTACAAAAGAATGCTAAAACTAAAAATGGTCAATAACTCACCTGCAGAATAGGGATGGAATTTGGTTTCTCCATTTACCAGCTGTGAACCAGGTGGTAACAATGTCTATATAACTAACATCTAACGAGTATTGTTTTTCTACATGTCTCCCTCCTTTTGAGATTCTGGCAGATTACAGCAGATATAAACACACTAAATTTAAACAGTAATTACTAGCTATACTGCATCACTTAATGTTTTTAATGCAATATAAATTGTAATAGTTTATGTAGTAAATAAGTGATCATTTATATAGTTGGGTGATACCATATTTCTTCCTCTATTTCCAATATAGTGTAGATTACTATTTAGATTATTAAGAAGATATATTCATTTCTACAGTTCTACAATTTTGGACCAGAAACTAGTATTGTCACTAACGTGTCTTCCTGTAGCATAGATGGAGTTACCCCAATTTTGTCTTAAAAAAAAAAACTACTGTTCATTTTCTGCGGAAGGAAGAAGTATAAACTCTGTATTATGACTTTCAAGATCTTTCGTGCTTATTGAACGCATGTATAAAAAAGATAGAGTGGATAAATGGAATAACCAATTCAGAGAATTAAAGATAATTTTTATAGGATTTCTAGAGTTTGTTTTTAAATATCAAGGAGATGTATGCATGCTCACACATATGTAATTGGTAAAGTAAGCAAAGGTTTTTATAAATGAAATAAAGTGCTTTCTAGGATTCTATGAGGCAGAGCTCTCAGTTCAATCACATTTGTTTGCATCTCTAATGTTCTGAAAATATTCCTACTGATTTCTTATATGTAATAAAATAACTATAAACAAAAATAGCAAACATTTTATATATACAATTTAGCATGTGTAAAGATTTTGTCTGCTTTAATATAGTTCATATTATGAATGGTCCATATTCTTATTCTTAGATGGGGTTTTCTAAGACACCTTTTCCCATGTTGCCAGAAAGTAGAAAATCTAATTTTTTTTTTTTTAAAAAAAGACTTTCTTTCTCTCCATGGTAGCTGGAATTTGCTTACTTTTTAATATCAAGGAATTAATTAATAGAAATTATTTCTTAAAAGCACAGACTCCTATTCAGAAGGGACAACAGAGGTCATCTTGCCCAATCCTTGTACTCTGGGAAGCCTGAGATAAAAGTGTAGATGTTTGTTTTTTACTCCCCTACTAATGGGAAGATGAGAAGTTCTAGGAGATGCATTTATCTCATTTGCACCACATTCATTATGATAGTAGTGCTCTCAGAGCATTTTATTGTCTCTGAATTCCATTGGCAGAGAGGGAGTGGAGAGCAGTAGGCAGTGTACTGGGCAAGAAGCCTGGACGACTTTCTGCTTCTCATGAACCTTATCCACTGGGCTAGATTTCCAAAATTAGGTAAACTATAAATTACAAAGGATAGGAGATTTTAGTGTACAAGATCAGGCATGAAAAAAATGTAAATATATATTTAAGGCTAAATAGGATAGTGTTATCATAGACACACATGCCCAGACAACTGTGGGGATTTCTGAGCATGGTCAAGACCACAGACTGTAGTCAGACCATCTGGGTTTGAATTCCTACTCTACGCCTCATTGTCTGTGGTTTGGACAAACCATCTAACTTCCTGTCTCGGTTTTTTCATCTGTAAAATAGCTCATTTGCAATTTATAACTCATAAGACGGTTGCAAGGATAAAATGTATTAAGACCCTATATATGTTAGCTGCCAATTTTATTATTTAGTTGGAATAAGGCAGGAGATTAGTAGGAGAATTTAAATCAACAAATATCTATAATGAAGGTAATAGTTGAGTTTACAAGCTGTACACACCTAATGTAATGACCAAATGGAAGCAGCTATATGAAAAGTATAATAAAAGTAAATTAAAATTTTTCTTTCAACCAACATTTTTGTGTTTCGGAACTCAGGTTTGTCTTTAGCCTTATTTTGAAACCTGGATTTGCTGTCATAGGAGCTGAGTGGTTGGTTTGGGCACTGCAAAGATTTTGATACCAGTTAGTCATCCATGAGCTGCCAAAGGCAGTAGGTTCCGTTCTATTTGCCTTCAAGTAATAGATCAGATCTGATCAGCTGGGGCAGTGTGAAGGCAATTTGCTTCATAGCCTATCAAATCTGCTGCTTCTCAGCTTCTTGATGCTATTTGAACGTCCCCTACACCATTAGCTATCCTCTCCGTCTTGATAACTTTGTGGTGTTTCTGCTATTTACTTGAATTCCTATATTATGAAATGCCCTACAAAATTATGTTTTTATTTGAATTAAATAGTCTTCAGATGGATGTGTCCCCATTAAAGTATTATGGGATGCATCCCCATTATGTTATTATGTTCAATATATTACTTAATATTGTCTAACACGCCAAAATGTTAGGATTATCATGTTTATTTGTCTCTTCCAGTTAAAATGCCAGTCCCTCAAAGGCAAGGATCTTTGTGCTTGGTTCACTGATGTGTCCTGGTACTTAGAGCAGAGTCTCCCATATAATACATTTCAATAGGTTTTTATGGAATAAATGGATGATGGACAATAATAAGTGATTGAGAAAAAAAATGTATGCAGTGGCCAGTGAATTTGGTGGGAGGAGAGCATTTTGAAGCAATTTATTAGCTATAACTTGACATTTTCTGATTAAAAATCTTCATACAGAGTTTATATTGGAGGAATGCCCTGTGAGCTTCTCCTACCACGATCTGATAATTTGTAAGTAACTCAAATAATTATTACAAAATAGCAGATATAAACACACTTAATTTAAACAGTAATTGCTAGCCATACTACATCACTAATGTAGTATAAATTCGACTATTTTATGTAGTAAATTAGCAATCATTCATACAGTTGGGTGCTACCATATTTCTCTTTCTGTTTCCAATATAGTATGAACTACTACTTAGATTATTATGATATATTTTGAGAAATATCTTTATGAAGTAAGTGTTTTATTTGGTAGTATTTAAAACTCTTCAGAGACTATTAACAATAGCTTAATTCATTACAAAATATTTTATTTAATAAAGTTTTATTCAAATATTTTCAAAAAATGGCTGATAAATACTTCGATTTTATAGAAATTTGGTTATAGCAACAGTTTCTATTCTGATATTTATTCTTTATCTTTTTAAAAATGAAATGTCAGACGGTGTGAGAGCACATATGTGCATGCATAAATGCATGAGAGAGTGAAAGAGAGACCCCTAGTGGAGCCTAGTTAAGCCACAATCTCTTTTCTTCCATTCCTTCTTCCCTTGGGGATCCTGTGGGGGCTTGCACACATATCAGGCATGCTTTTCAAGTTGCCAGGACTGGAATTTAAATTGTGGATGGTCATGTGGAATCCAGACGCTCCCCCACCCCATATAGTGCTTAACCACTGTTCTAAAGGGCTATCCCCTCGTACTTATCCATAAATTAATGTAGTCCATATAAGTAAAACACCTATTTTAAAACTTAGTGTTGGGCCAGAGTGTGGCCTAGTGGTTAAGGCGCTGGATCCCACAGGGCCAACTGTGCAGCTGGAGTCCCAGACCTGGTGGTTTGAAAAACACGCCAAGTACATGTACGTGCGTGCCCAGAATCTCAAAAGGAGGGAGAAATGGAGAAGAGATTGTGATGTAACTATGCCCAATGGGGGGTGCTTTCTCATGCTTTCTCACATGCTTTCTCTCTGCAGAGAACCAACACTCCCTTTGACAAATTAAAAAAATAAAAAGAAAACAGTGTCAATATAAACTTTGATGTGAACATAGTTTTTTTATTAGGTATGGCCTAAAACTAGATCATTCAAATGGAGATATGGGTTCCATGACTTGTAAGATGACTGGAACTTACATTGGTAAGTTTTGATCATCTTTCTTCTTTCTTCATCACTGTCATAAATGACAGATATCAGATGTCATAGATACTTGACTCTATTTTCCTGTTCTGTATTCTCTCGCTGCTACTCCACCCTTTTTTGTGTTCTTCTATTAGTGTTTCTTTTCTTTGGCTTCTTTTCACTTTCAAGTGAGCATACATAAATTAATTTTTCTTCAGGTTTGCATATAATGTAAACTTCTTCAAGTTCCTTTTTATTCTTCCTTCCTCCAGAGAATTCCATGACTTATTTAGCTATTCTACCTTTTGCCTTAAATATACTCATTTTTTCCTCTTCCTCTGTGTATTTCAGATACATAGTTGTTTTGTTTTTTTTTTTTTTTTTTTTTTTTTTCTCCTTCCTTATTCCTGATAGTTGTGTGCATGCACGTGAGATGAGGATGTTGGGGAGCACCCTGCACAGGGTGTGATCATGCTTCAACTCCCTTCTTCACTGTCCTCTAGCCTATTGGTTCCTGGGTATTCACATACGTGCCTGACATGTTTCAGGGGGACCAGCTTGGGGTTTGAACTGGAGTGGCCATGTGGGATCTGGCTTCTCTTGAGTAGCCCATTACTGCTGTACCACAAAGCTAGCCATAGAGTTTTTTTTGTTTTGTTTTGTTTATCCTTCTTAAAAATTATTCAACCAAGCTTATCTGCCTCTGTCTCAGAGCCTTTGTAAGCTTTCCATACTGGAAATTTCAGATAAAATGTCATGTCCTCAAAAAAGCCTCCGCTGACTCTTACATACCCAAAGCTCACTCTACTTTTCCTTGATAGCCTTATCGCAAATTTTAATTCTCTGTTTGTATCACTTTTGCTGACCCTGCACTAAACAATACGTTCTATTTGGAGCACACAGGCTATGTGCTCACCATGCATTTCTCAACCCCTAGCAGGATGTCTAAACAATTAAATTACTGTTGAAAGATCAGAAAAATTTCAAGACAACATGGTTACATATATGTTCTTTGTTATTCTTCATTTGTGTTTATGTTTTCCAAGATCTATTTAGTTCTAATCTAAGGTACTTTATTATGCATATTTTTAATTATAGATACTTTTAAGATAGTTCAGTGTTCATTTCTTTGAGGATTAACAGGTGATTGTATAAATATGATTTTATTATGATTTTATTGTTTTCTCTGCTTTAAAGTCAGCTTTGCAATATAGCATATTGTTCTCTTGTGATTAGGAATTTAATTGATTGCGTGTTTTAATTAATTCCAGGTCACCACAATGTCAGCTTCATCTTAGATAGTGATTATGGAAGGTAGGCCATTTTGTAAATAATAATTTTCCTAATTGATTTAACTGGATAAATAAACTGTATATTTATTTTGTGCTATAGGTGCAAAAATTAAAAATTAATCACTTTCTTTCCCAAAATTAACACTTTGAGTTCATAACTTCCTTTCACTCACAATTTGTGTCTCATACATAATCTTTCAGTTGTCGGGAATCCAGTATTAACTATAAGAATAAGCAAAAAAAAAATCTTCGATTGTGATATAGCAAAGTGTTATTTTATGTCTTGCAGCTCTTCCAGTTTGATTGTAATTCTTTTGATAACTAAAATAATTAAACCTTGACTTGAACTAATGTGAGAATAAATAAAACGTCATGGTTAATATTACCTAGGAAAAGTTTTCTTCTAAGTTATCAAAACATAGAGTTATGAAAGATGGTAGTTATAGCTTTCAGTTGTACATCTTATACTAATGTTAACTCTACTTATGATTTTTGATAAAATGAGAACTCATTTCCAGATAGCCTATATCCTAATTCAGGAAGGAAGAATTATCAGAATATGTGAATCTCAACACATAATGTGAATTCCCTATTATAGGTAATAACCATAGTGAACGTGTGTTGGCAAGCACAGTATTAAGCATTTCACATGCATTATTTAGTTTAATCCTCCCAAAGAACCTATACACTGAGTGCCTTCATCCACCCCTTTTACCTTCTGGGAAAATGAGACTATGAGACTTAGGGATGTTAAATGACTTGCCCGAGTATATTCAGCTACTAGGAAGCAGCACCAGTGTGTGACCACTGAAGTCTAACTTCAGAGCCTGAGCATCTCATCCCAGTACTCTGCCAAAACTGATGGAAGGTGTCAGCCTCCAGTACCACATCTTACCACCACCTAACATGCCCATCCAGGACTCTCTACTAGAGCAGGGTTACCCCACTTCGAGAGAGTTTGCAAATGTGTGTGGGCTCTTCATGGCTGTCATAGTAATTAGAGATGTTAATGGCCTTTAGTGGTCAAGACCGTGATATTTCAAAGCTAAATGAATTGTTTTTCTCTCATAGAGTTTACCATTGAGAAAATGAACCACTTGACAGAAATCCAAATAAATTACATTTTTAGCATCTAACACTAATATATAGCAATAGTAGATCAACGATAGGATAAGTATGTTTTCTTTTTTGACTGAAGAAAAATTCAATGGTTAGAAGTTGGGAAAGAATGGCAATACTACAAAGAAAGATATTATTACTGGTCAGTACTCACAAACTGCAAGCAAAGAGAGACAGTTCCTCCACGCATGGAAGTGCAATTGAGTTTGTTAAGATCAAACCCATTATCTGGCATTCTGGCGCGGAGCGGAGTGGCGACGGGCGTAGCGAGCGGGTAGGCGGCGGAGCGGGGGTGCAGCTCGGTTTCCCCCACACCCCTCCCCTTCAGGCGCCAGGCCCACCCCTGCGCCGGCCAGACTGACCTCGCCGAACTACCCCTGCGGCGCGAGCCCGGGGCGGCTCCGGGCGCCCCCTGCAGACCCGCATCTTGGGCAGTCGGAGCTCCAAGGCTCCCCCGGGCGACGTGACCGCCGAGGAGGCAGCGGGCGCTTCCCCCGCGAAGGCCAACGGACAGGAGAACCGCCACGTGAAAAGCAATGGAGACGTAGTCCCCAAGGGGGAAGGGGAGTCGCCCTCTGTGAACGGAACAGAGAGGCAGCTGGGGCCACTGGCGATGCCCTCGCGCCGGCACCTCCTAGACAGCGCGCGGAGGCCAAAGGGGAGGCCTCCTCCAAGGAGACCCCTAAGAAATTCTCTTTCAAGAAGCCTTTCAAGTTGAGCGGCCTGTCCTTCGAGAGAAATTGCAAGGAGGGCAGGGGCGATTCTTCTGCCTCCTCGCCCACCGAGGAAGTGGAGCAGGGTGAGCTGGGCGCCTGCAGCGACGAGGGCATAGCCCAGGAAGGGAAGGCCGCCCCCCACCCCCCCCACCCCGAGAGCCAAGAGCCCCAGGCCAAGGGGGCAGAGGCCAGTGCCGTCTCCAAGGCCGCAGACGCCAAGGACGAGGCAGGGCCCGGGCTGCAGAGCCGTCCACCCCCTCGGGGCCCGGGAGTGGCCCTGTCCCGGCCAGCGCCAAGCAGAATGAGTGGCTGGGTGGGGGGGAGGGAGGGGCTGTCGCCCCGTCCCAGCCACTTTCCCTATCCTCCCTCCTGTGGATTTTCCCATCAGCCATCTGGCCTTCCTCTATGGCCCATCGAAGATGGTCCCTTACAGTTTCCCAAGTTAGGTTAGTGATGTGACATGCTCCTGCCCTGCCCTGCCGCCTCTCTTGTCCCCACCCACCCCTGCAGGCGGCAGTTGCTGGTTTTCTTCCCCAGTTCTTTTCCAAGTAGGTTTTGTTTACCCTGCTCCCCAAGTCCCTGAGCCAGAAGTAGGTTGCTTATACTCCCAAACCGTGAGTGTCCAGCCTTCCCCCGTTTTGAGTTTTAGTCTCTTGTGCTGTGCTAGTGGCACCTGGGCTGGGGAGGACACTGCCCCTGTCTGGGTTTTTATAAATGTCTTACTCAAGTTCAGTCCGCCAGCTTGTGAATCAACTGTGTCTTTCTGACTTGGTAAGCAAGTGTTAGGCTTTGGGGGAGAGGGAGGTCTGTAATGTGAAACAACTTCTTGTCTTTTTTTCCTCCCCTTGATGTAAATAACTTTTAATGGCCAAACCCTAGATTTGTACTTTTTTTTTTCTAACTGCTAAAAATATTCTCTTCCACCTGGTTTTACTGTAACATTTGGGAAAGGAATAAATGTTGTCCCTCTAAAAAAAATACAAAAAAAAAAAAAGATCAAATCCATTATCTTTGTAGTTTGAGATCATCTAGTCCTTAGATATCCAGAGGCAATAAATAGGCTCATGGCAAAGTGATATTTGTGCTGGATATTTTATTGTAGGCCAATATGGAGCAGGCCCAAACCATGAAAAGTTGTATAATTCCAGAGTAATCAGAGTGGAAGATACGTAAATGGTGCTCTCAGATATACCTTGTGATTGACTTGAGGCAAATGACTTAGAGTCCCATGACGTAACCGTTATTTTCCACAAGGACACAGCCTACTTACATAAAAACTTGATAATACAGGACAATGAGATTATTGAAAATATCAGAAAACCATGTTAGAAGCCATAATTACTGAATTTTAAATAATTTCTCAAACTATGCATGGTCCTTCAGTTCTCTCAGTACTACTCATCTTGAGGTGAAAAAAATAAATTTTTAGTCAGAGTCTGCATGAAAGGTATTAATTGCCAGATCCATCAAATGTCTCTGAGAGAAATAATTATCCAGAAGTAGAAGGTTTGCATGATCAAGGAGGGATGTGATTGGTAAGTATATATAAATCAATATGCTACATTAACAGGTCTAGAAATTTTTTATTTAGAAATGCCAGCAAATTAAAAGATAATGTTGGCAAAAATACTTCATTCAGTCTTGATTTTATGACCTTGATTTATAATTCCTTTTATTTCCTTTTTAAGACAATGGCAATCCCTTTGTATTAATGACTCAGGATTAAAGAAATTCTATTCTATGTAAAATATTCTTAGAAATTTAAGATAACTCTACTATTTAAAAGCCTAGTTTCAAGATTCCATGCCATTTTTAAAATGTTAAATCATTTTATAAATTATAAAATTCATACTGTGCAAATTTCAGGATTATTCTTGAATATCAAATGAGCCAATTAAAACCATTGTGGCATCCATTCTGTATTTATTTTTAATAGCCAACCTTCTCTCCTCTATTACCCCAAGTTCAAACAACAGCTGTTCCTAACTGATAAGGTTCAGATGAGGCTGTCTTAATTGAGAAATGCCTAGTCATTATCAATAAATTAGTGAAAATCACCTCAGTGTCATCCAAAATAAATTACATTCAAATTTTATTTCAGGAGGCTATTTTCCCAACAACTTAAGAAGCAGAGTTGATTAGTTGATTTTTAAGACACAGGATCCAACCAGACAAAATACTGTTGGAGCTAGCATGGTTTCTGATCTTTGAGAAATGGACTGAGAAAAACTTATAATATTAAAATATAAAATCCAGAATAAACTTCATAAATAACTATTTTAGCATAAAATATTTGCAGAGAGTCTTTAACTTGCAAATGAATTTGTAATGCCTGGGTTAGATTTGCAGGAGAATTCATTGTTGGTCTCAACTACAAAATTTGCGTTATCCTTTTAGATTCTAGTTCATTGTATCACAATTTTGATAAATGGATTTTGAGACTATTTGAAGTGTTTACCGTTTCTGATTGTAAATTGCTTTGAAGTGATTAAGGAAACAGAATTTAATTTCTAGGATTCTTTCCTGGTGTTCCAAGTTATACTAATCGAAGGGAAAGTATGTATCTATCAAAAAATACGAAAATTTCTGTGCTTTTGAAAGATGATTTAAACCTGGTAGGTTGTTGTTAATTTGCTCTCATCTACCTGCACTCTCACACAATCAGGGGGTAGGGGAAGAGTACCTTATAGTACATAGGTTAGAGCCAGGGCTCTGGGCACAAACTGCTGGGCTCCAATTCTGTTTCTGCCACTTACTTTTTATTGTCAGTAAGTTAAGTAAACCCTCTGAATTTCACCTACCTCATGTGGTTAATGTAAAGATCAAGTGGCAAAATAAATGGAAAGCTCTTAGCACAATACCTTCTCTTAGTATGGATTCTAAGAGAGGGAGGTAGTTCACAGGACGGTCCAGGTTTTGTGAGTCGTCCTTCTGGTTGTTTTTGTTCGTCTGTTTTATATACATATATAAATGCATATTTCTTAAAACCAGTTTCATTGAAGTAAATTTGCACATAACACAATGCACATGTGGGGTTTATTTATTTCTTCCATGACACACGGAGAGAGCAAGAGACATAGAGAGAGGGGGAGAAAGATGCTCACCAAAAGGTCTTTATACCACAATCTACCCCCAGCCTCAGCGGACCCAGATTATGGGCAAACACAGGTAAATCTGGCATGTTCAAGGATGAGAACCCAGGACACTTCCCATGCAGGTCCTGTTGTGTTACTGCTGTACCACGGCCTGGCCCCTAAACTGCTTATATTTGAAGTGTTCAGTTCAGTTCAGTAAGTTCTGACCAATGTAGATAAGTGTGTGTGTGTGTAATATATAACCAACAACTAAATCAAGATAGAGAATATTTTTATTTCACCCATCATGCTCCTTTGCAAATTATAATATGATTTTTATCATTAATGGAAAATTCTTCCTAAAATAAAAGGTCATTTTTAAAAGCAGATTTTCTTTTTAAACAGGAGTTTCCCAGAGAAAATGACATATTTTATTTCTTCTCTCAATAAAATTTCAATGTTTCAAACATATGCAGGTACGTGACTTTTTTCCATTCCGTGTGTGCGTGCGTGTGTGTTTGTGTGTGTGTAGGTGGGAGAGACAGGAGTGGGGAAGGTGGTGTAGACTTCATTTCATTTGATCAAATCAAACATAATAATGATTATGTTATCCTACATTATTTTATATACTGCAAGGAAAGGAAAAAAATGTAAGGTGAGGAGTCTAGTAGGAAGCTCTGACATTCAGCTAAGGCCCCAAAGTCTACACTTAGTGTAAGATCAATTTGAAAAACCTTACCATGCCATCAGACAGCAGGGAAACTTGGCATGCCTCAACTTTGTCTATTAGTGAATAAAGGGAAGAAAATCTTTCCTATCAATTTAAACTTGTACTCCGATTTATACTCTAAGTGTGATCCAAAGGAATCCTTGAACAGGTAATAATTTAATTTAAAGAGGTCTCAGGTTGATAATGTCTCTTGAAGAGCATCAAAAGCAAAAACAAATCTTCCTGGAAGAATTATATAACTCATTCCAAGTCAGGAGTGGTGAAAAGACATTTGTAGAATCAATCATAAATGGTGTATCTTGGCTTTTTCTAAAAATTTATTTAATGTGAAACTCACATGTAAGAATACATAGAACTTTGATAGTATTAATCAGAAAAAATTTTGGTAAAAGTTTGCAATATGTCATACACGTGGCTATTTTACCAATATACCTCAAACTTTTACATAACGCTACAAGAAGTCCAGTCATACTTAAATATATTTTTATATGAGAAAAGTATGTTACCCTGGAAACATCAGAAAAATGAATTCCTCAAGAATATATGGGCAAAGAGGCAATTTTATATGCCTTTTTATATTTTCATTTGGAACTAAGTATCTATGCTCGGCTCAACTTTTCCTTACTGTAATACCTTGATCCTCCTGTTACATTAACATGTCTCTTTAGTACTAGTTTCCACTAAAGCCCGGTCCCTGTGGAATGTAGGTCTCTGTGAAACCCATTGTTTATTATCCTCTTTACAGGCTTGTACCAGAGGCAAAATAATTAACCACCTAATTCTTTCATTCAATAAACCACTACTTATAGTAATAGGTGGTACAGCTACCTAATTTGGAAATGTTTAAAAAAAATCAAGTGTTTGGTTTTATGTGTAATATTCATTACATTCTATTTAATGCGTTTTCTCCTCCAGAGGTCACTCTGATTTCACCTTCACATGGAAGCACTCAAGGTGGTACCACACTGACAATACGTGGGAGCTTCTTTGACCAGACAGATTTCCCAGTCAGAGTTCTGGTTGGAGGTATATTCATGATTTTTACTGTATTACTTTGTATGAACAAATGCTGCTTGTTCTTCAATAATTTGTAATAGTTATAATCTCAATTTTGTCTTGAATTTAGAGTTGGGGATTTTTTTTTTTTTTTTTGAGGTGAGGTCATGCAGGTGAATTAACCTCCAAAAGCCAGAGGAGCCCAGAGATCAAAGAATGAAGGGGACAAGGCCAGTTTGCTTGTGAAGAGTTCAGTAAGGGAACTTACTGACAGAAGTCTTGGGCAGCTGCAAGATGAATAGATCTCCCCACCTTTCAGCCGCCAAAGTACATACTGCTATAGCTTGTGCAGGATGAGGGTATAAAAGAGAATACATGCAGGAAGGCATTGAGGACTATATAGAGTGGTTTTGATGTGCCTGTGGGTGCACAACTCCATGGATAAGGATAATGGACATGTTTACTATTATACCTGAGGCTACATTTCAGCCCTAGGAGTACAGCCAAGGACCTTGAGGGCACACAGAGATTGTGGGTCAGCTTCAAGATGGAGTCACTTTGGTTTTGCCACAGTATTTTCATGCAGGTATTTGATTCTGGGCTTGATGCTCTTCCTTATGTAATTTTTCAGTGAGGTTCACTCCTTGAAGTCCTGATTACATGGTACCAGGGAAGCCCTGAAGGGGGTTGGTTCTCATGCATGTGTGTTGTATAACAAGAACTGTTCAAAAAAATTCTCTACCAGAACCACAAACTGGTGCAAAGGCTACTGCAATTGTAAGCAAAAAAATAAATACTTCTACCAAGACAGTAGCCCAGAAACAACCTGTCCAACTTTGGAATGATAGCATCCTTGTTATTGATACCAGTAGAAAAGAGTATTTGTCCCAAAACAACTTACACAATTCTTCCTCATTTCTTCTTTTAAAAACTTGTCTTTCCTTACCTTAAATATGCCCATAGTTTACCATGGTAGGCATATTCCATATTACAATGCCTATTCCAAAATAAATATCATTTTTCTTTTAAAGTTTTTCTGCTTCCTTGTTATTAATATTTAGAAACTGACACTGGTCATGTGGCAACCACATCTGAACTTTAACATTGTTAATGATTTGTCAATAATAATGACTTATTTATGTATTTTTCCTTTGTTCCCGGTAAAATTGGTGGTTGATTTCATATGCTGTTTAAATGTACCATTCTTAGCACATTTTCTTGAATTTTCTTGCATCTATAGGGCATTCAAAGCAGTGAAGGTAGTCTTCAAGCTGTTTCCCAGGCCACCAAACAAAACTTGGCAAAGTTCTCTCCCTGCATTTTCTCAGCCCTCACTTTTCCTGGGGCACAGTTACCATTTCATTAAATACTTGCTAAAGGCTAGCCTCTTATGAGGCACTGTGAGGGATTTAAACACAGACTTCCCTAATGTCTAATTGTATTTATGCAAAAGTCATAAGCATTCTCTTTTGCACCATTATCTGTTTTGGTTTCATTCTCCTGTGAAAGTGTCATTTAATAATTACTATCCTTTTTGTTTTCATTGGAAGAACTCAGACTAAAGAACCATTTTTCTTACTTAAGTGGGTTAGGATCATCTAACTTTGCAAATTCTCAATATCATAGTTTACTCAGCAGCTTTTCTCCAAGGAATACTTCATGTCAGACCTGGAAGTGACTTTTTAATTTTTTTTTTTAAAGAGATCTTTTTTTTTTTTTTTTGAGAGAGAAAGATTTTTTGCTATATAGCACATGCACTTTCAAGAGACAGACAGAAAGCAAGAAATCACCTCCAAATGGGACAGCCATGTTGCAATCGCTTCTCCATTCTCCTCTCAGGATTTTGGGCACATACGCACACATGCCTGGCATGAATTTAAGCTGCTGGGTCTGGGACTCAAACCGCACTCCACCATGTGGGAGTCAAGTGATGTAACCATTATGCCATCTGCTGGTTTCTGGAAGTGACATCTTTTAAAAACAGTTTAAGTTTTTATCAAGTTTCTTTTTCTTCCTAAGAAATTGTGACATATTCCATACCAGGAAAGTGTTGACTGGTGGAAGGATGACAATTCGTGAGTGATAAGTTTTCTTTGGAACTATGGGAAGGAGATGAGGGCTGCAGCTTGGTCTCTTGCTCGTGCAACTTCGTTTTCATTGTAAACGTACTCGCAGATGGGCTAATGGAACTTGTATGCTGCAGTATCAGTAGCAATGGTTCTGCATCTTACTTCTCTGTAGGTCAAGCCTGTGATATTTTGAATGTCACGGAAAATAGGATATTGTGCAAGACACCTCCCAAACCTCATGTTCTCAAGTCTGTATATCCAGGTAAGTTACCATAAGGGAAAATGGCTATTTTTTTTTCTTTTAAAAATAATTATTTATTTAATTTTATTTATTTATTATTATAATTTTATTTTGCTACAGAGAACATGTGCTCACCAGAAAGAGACAAAGAGAGAGAGATAAAGAGAGAGAGAGGGAAAGTGAGAAAGCAAGCCACCAGTTCTGGGACTCAAACTGCAGTCACCCATGGGGGAGTCCAGCACGTTAACCACCACATCACCTGCTGACTCGAGAGTGGCTATTTTTATATTTACATTAAAAAGAGTATTACTGATTATTTATCATGACTAAAAAAAAAATTTGAACTGTTTTAGGATTTTTGACGAAAATTGTATTAAATCTCCTCCACATTCTTAAATGTACATTTTCTTTTCTTTTTGGAGAGTTATTTTGCTATAGAGCACGTGCGCTCACCAGAAAGACAGAGACAGACAGACAGAAAGTGAGAAATCACCCCCCATGGGCCATGGCTCTGGCTCAATCCCTTCTCCTCCATTCTCCTCTTGGGATCTTGGGCACGCTCGCACATGCGCCCGGCGTGAGTTTAAGCCACCGGGTCTGGGACTCGAACCGCAGTTGGCTACATGGGAGTCCAGCAGCATAGCCATTACACTAACTGCTGGTCCCTTAAATGTATATTTTCTAGATAAGAAAATATTTATCTTAAAATACCAAAACTATACAAGTGGATGGCCCACTGGCTGTACAGTGGTAAAACAATACTATGTGATGCTGGGCCCATATCAGAAGGTCTCAAGTTCATGTTGTCAGGCTTCCCTGTCCAAACAGTGTATGCACATGCGCATGAACTGGGCTGACAGAGTATGAATCGTGGCATTAAGATCCTATTCATGTGTATATGTCTCTATCCTCTCTTTTGGAAAAAAAAATAAAAAAATAAGTAAACTCGAAGAAAGCTTTACCAGTGGAGATAAGCTCTAAATTCTTCAGACACCATATTGAAAACCACACTTCTCTATTGATAGAGTAAAATAGTGTCTTTATTTCAGATTAAATTATGATTATTAAATCTTGGCATAGGCTACATAGAATATTTTTAAATTTGTTGGAAAACAAAGACCAGTTTATTTTTAAAATGTATTTATTTGGAGATAGATGCAGATTGGTACCCTTGACAGGGTCTCTTCATACCACTGTCTTCCTTCGGGTCTTTCAGCCAGCCAGGATCACAAGCATGTGCAGGCTCACTCAGTTGTGTTCAGGTCAACATGGGATCTGAACTTGGGCATTCCATGTGGCTCCAGATTTGTGCAGCAGTTCCCTATTGCTTACACTACCACAGATGAATCTAGAGAAACAGAAACAGAGAGAAAGGACGTGAGAAAGCACTGACCATAGAGATGGCCATTCCACAAAACCTTATCCAGTTTTTCTTTCCGTATCTTGGGCACACAAATACACATGCACATGTGCCCAGTGTGTTTTTCAAGCTACCAGGTCTGGGACTCAAACCTCGTACTTGGTCAGCCATGTTGACCATCGTCTCATGGGCAGGTGGGCTGGACCTACAGTTACTTTTTTGTTGTTTTTTGACATAGGGTGTGTGGGCTTGCTGGAGAAAGACACAGAGAGGGAAAGTGATAAATCAACCTCCCCTGAGGGGTGGGAATGCTGCAATCCTGTCTCCAGTCCCCTCTCAAGATTTTAGGCATGCCCACACACACAGAGTGTTTTTCAAGCCACTGGGTCTGGGATTTGAAATAAGCAGTCAACCAGGTGGGAAGCAGCACCCCAACCTCCACGATACCTGCTGGCCTTATCATAGACATTTTTGAAATGCCTTTTCCTGGTGAATAAATAAATGGGGTAAGTCAAATTCTTACTTGTCTAGAATGATTTGGTAGTGAAGACAGGCAATAAGAAATATGTGACTCAAAATTCTTTCCAGACTTTTACCTTGTGGCCCAGTGGAATTCAGCTGATGACTATCATAGCCACACTAATAGCACTGAAATGTTCTGCATGTTTGAGAGTGGTGTGTAGCTCACATCTGTGCACATGGAAAATCTGTATATAATTGTGTCATTGGTTGCTATTTGAAGTCAAATAAATTCTGTTTCTAACCTCTAAAATTCCTTTGCTTTGAATGATATTAGAAAACAATGATAAATTTAAGAAAATTTATACATTAATGACCTAAACAAATTGTATGTATAGGTGATTACTCAAAGTTCGAAGTGCTCATGCTTTTCTGCAGCCAAATTCAAGTGGAGAGTAGCCGTTATTTTCTAGATCTACACTAGTTTAAGACTAATGATGGTGAAAGGAAGGAGACTAATTGTTGCATTTTAAGCGAGAAAAGGAAAAGAAGAAAAGAGAAGAGAAGAGAAGAGAACAGAACAGAACAGAAAAGAAAAAGAAAGAAAGAAAAAGGGAAAGATGAGTTGGATGACTTCTTTTAGAGCAAGAAAAAATTTAATCTCAGGGTTTACATTGGCAAGAGTAGGTACACTTTATTGGGTATAGTCTCGCTTTGATTCTGTCCAAGAAGGAGATGAAATTCTGGAACAGAAACGATGTCATAAAAAGTAAAAAAAGAAGAAGAAAAGAAAAGAAAAAAAAATACTGAGAAAAATGTTAAAGCCAACAGTGTCTACTGTAAGCTATTGAGTACCTCGTGCTAGACTAATTGAAACAAAGTTTTTATAATCAAATGATCTGAATCTTGAAGTTTTGAAACTACATAGAGCAATATCAGTCATATCATAGAAAATAATTCCTATTTGTTGTTGTCTTAAGTACTTATTAAATTCCAGGTGATTTACATATATATCTATATATGTACATATATCTATATCTATATCTATCTATCATCTATCTATCTATCTATCTATCTATCTATCTATCTATCTATCTATATACATATGACACATAATCCCTATAGCAACCATTTAAATATTACTTTTATTTTATATATACAGAAATTGAGATTCAGAAAAGTGATAATAAATTGCAGACTGTTCTTTCAATACAGGTACATGTAGGGGTATACGTAGTTGTTTTGTTTTTAAACATTGCTCTAAAAATATGAGTTGAAATAGAGCATCTGTAATTACCACCCAAATAGAAGGTGGTTGAGACTGTGCCATGATTCTGATGAAAGGTTTCTTTTATTACATGCAGGTGGGAGAGGCCTAAAGCTTGAGGTATGGAGTAATACTCAGCCAGTACATCTCGAAGAGATACTTGAATACAATGAAACAACGCCAGGGTATATGGGTGCCAGTTGGGTAGATTCGGCTTCTTATATTTGGCCTGTGGAACAAGACAAATTTGTTGCACGATTGAGTGGATTTTTGGTGGCTCCAGATTCTGATGTCTATAGATTCTACATCAAAGGAGATGACCGTTATGCTATTTATTTCAGTCAGACTGGACTTCCAGAAGATAAGGTAGGAAATACTCTGAAATGATGAAAACAGCATGGGGATCATCATATGTATCACATTTATTTTAAATCATCACCAAGAAATATATTAAAATTTATGAGAAATTATTTTTATGTGGGTTCTTGGCTATTTAAAAACTTTTTTTTGTACAATTTATTTTGCTTTAGGGCATGTGTGCTTGTAGAACAGATTCAGAGAGAGAGGGAAAGTGAGAAATCACCTGCCACCAAAGGGGGATGACAATGCTGTTGTCCCTTCTCCTGCATTGTCCTCTTGGAATTTGGGGCACACATGCACACGTGCCTGGTGTGTTTTTCAGTTTGCGAGGTCTGGGACTCAAACCTCTGAGTTGACCATGTAGGAAACAGTGCCTTAATAACCACACGTGCCTTAATAACCACACCACCGCTGGTGTGGTTCTTGGCTATTTTAACACATGTGATACTACCTATAAAGTAGTAAAGAATGAATTAGAGATATAAGGGGAAAACGTGACTGAATAAAAACAGAAGAGTGAAATATTTTCATTTTTCCAAAATTTCATATGTCACAGTTATAATTCTTTCATAATTAGGAAATTTCAATTTTATAGGAAATATATGTATTTGTCCTTAGCAGAGAAAATTTAGAAATAGGAAATGATTTTCATTTATGCTTTGGTTTTTCTACTTTCTATATCTCTCATTTGTTTTTTACACAAATAAGATCATGCATCTAATTCTATAGTCATCTTTTGTCATATGTATTACTGTTAAATAGTAATATTGTTAAATAATTTATACAATCATGTTAATAAACAGATGGGGATGTTATTATATGGGTTACTAGATTTAAATAGTTATCTCTACTAATAAGCTTTTAACTTAACTTCTGATTTTTTATGACTATATATAATACCTATTGAACACTTGTGTTTTTTATTTTTGTGTGTTTTGGATTGTTTCCTTAGGACAACTTCATGAATGTGAAACTATTAGATCAAATCAGTACATTTTATGACTCAATTTATATGGCAGGATTTCTTTTCGAACTAGTTGCATCAGTTTAAATTAACACATGTAATTTATGAATCCCAGTTTTACCATAGCTCTTCAGCATGTTGATTCTAAAGGTGGTATAGCCATTTTTTTAAAAAAAAACTTTTTGCCATAGGGCACATGCACTTACCAGAGAGACAGAGTAAAAGAAAGTGAGAAATTACTTCCCACAAGGAATGGCCATGCTGCCATCCCTTCTCCTCCATTCTCTGGAATTTTGGGCTCAGGAGCACAGGTACTTGATGAAGATTTCAAGCACTGGATCTGGGATTTGAACTGCGGTCAACCATATGGAAGTCCAGCACCTTAACCACCATACCAACTGCTGGCCCCATTATAACTATTCTTAATGGGAAGCCCAAAGTGCTCTCACTCTAGTATGTACAACCATTAGGAATCTTTGGCATATTTCAGGCCCTAATGATCTAATTAGTTTAAATCCCTCAAAGTTCTTCACAAAACCAAAGACTAATGTATTTATTTATTTATTTATTTATTGGAGAGGTTTTTTGCTATAGGGCGCGTGCGCTCACCAGATAGAGAGAGACAGAGAGATAGAAAGCGAGAAATCACCCCCCAGGGGGGTGGTCACACCGCAATCCCTTCTCCTCCATTCTCCTCTTGGAATCTTGGGCACACACGCACACGCGCCCGGAGTGAGTTTTAAGCCACTGGGTCCGGGATGTGAACCGCAGTCAACTATGTGGGAGTCCAGCGACATAGCCATTATGCCAACTGCTGGTTCCCAAGACTACTGTATTTAACAATAACAACCTTCTTTCTGGAATGTATCTTCTTAGTTTTCATGGCAATTTGAATTACATAAAAGTCATGATCTGTGTAGCACATTTGGAAGGAAGTGAGCTTTGATAATTTTTTCAAAAATCCATTTCATCATGGATAATAGATATTAGAAGAAAAGAATGAAGTTGTTTTACATTTTTCTACTCAGAGAGGTTCTAAGACTCACAGAAATAATAAATAAATGTTGAAAATGTTTATTAACAAATTATCTCTCTATCTTTCTCATATAAGGTGAAGATTGCATATCATTCTGCCAATGCCAACAGTTATTTTTCTAGTCCTACACAAAAATCCGATGATATTTATCTTCAGAAAGGAAAAGAGTAAGATTTTTTTCATATCTTTAAATTGCTATGTGATGTTTAAAAACTCTAAGTTTATATATAAAAAATACTTCAATTAGTTTTTATTGGTGGAGGTGATATTTGTTTATTGGTTTAATTTATAATTAATTGTTTTAAATAATTTTATTTTTTTGTTTTGTATTATTATTTTGTTTCAAGAATATTGGAATTAAGTTAACCAGGGACACTTGAAATCTAAATTAACTGCTGTAGAAATGATAATTTTGTAAAATTTGCTTAATCTTATTTTTAGGTTTTTTGTTAGGACCTTTCAGTCAATCCACCCATCTAATTTCTCTGTTCTTACAGATGAGCTCTTGAAATTGATAGATAAAAATCACAAAACCACGTGGATTGGTGCCACCGTTAATATATACTTATTATTCACTGATTTATTTTAGGCCCTGTCCCTGGTCCTGAAAGTTTAATACAAATGATATTAAATACACTCTCAAATTTGTGCTGAAAAGTCTAGTCAAGAAAGCAGATGAGAGTATCATCCAAAGAGCAGATAATCTTACTCAAAAAGTCATTGAAGATTCTTAGAAAATAGAAAGATGAAAGACATAATGTATTCAAAATGACTTAGTTACATGGAGGACATCAAAAGATGTATTAAAATAGCTTCTATTTATCGTTTGTATTTGTTAGACTTTATTTATTTATTTATTTATTTAAATAACAAACCACTTCAGATTTCAGTAGCTTCAGACAAGCAAATGCCTGTTATTGAGCACACTTTTGTGGTTGTCTGGGAGATTCTGCCCAGTGTAGTTGGGGATTGATGGTCTAAAATGTACTCATTCATGTATCTGGAGGCTCAGCTGACTTGGTTGGTACTTAATATCTACAGCATCGTATTCGACATGGTCTCTCACCTCTCAGTAGGGTAAATAGGTTTGCCATAGTAGTGGGTGGCTTCCCAGCAGTAAAGAGTACAGTTCCTAAAGCACACACATTTTTCAGTAACCCAGATTGTGTCACATCTGCCCATATTCCACTAGTCAAAGCAAAATGGTCAAGACCCAGGTTCAAGGGGTGAAGAAATAGACTTTGCTTCTTCTTGGGAAAAAGTTTCTTCTTCTTAGTCTCCTCCATCCCCCCAGTTGTTACATTGCCCTTCTAGGTATTGAGGAGATTTGGCCAAGAAACAGCATTGTGAAGATCTGATGGAATTGGTCAGAAAAGGTTGGCATCGGGAAAACCTAGGAGCAATCATTTAATGTTCTTACTAAGGTCTTAGAAATTATGATGGGGCCAGCAGGTGGCATGGTGGTTAAGACACTGGTCTACCACATAGCTGACTGTGATTCGAATCCTGGACCTGGCGGCTTGAAAAATCATGCTGGGCATGTGTATGTGCCAAAAACCCCAAGAGGACAAAGAATTGTTGTGGGGCCACCTCCCCTGGGAAGAGTGATTTCTCACTTACCCTTTCTCTGTCCCTCTCTCTCTCTGTTAGCAGCAGGAGCGTGCATCCTATGACAAAAACCCCCAAAAAGAAATTATGATGTGAGGAAAGTATTCAATTTTCTACTTCTTCCACTTGTTTATATGATTAAACCATTTCTCCTCTCTCTCTCTCTCTTTTATGTTTTTGCCATAGGGCATATGGTCCCTCAGGAGAGAGACCAAGAGAGGAAAAGTGAGAAATCACTCCCCCCCCCCGGGGGCGGGAGATAGCCACTGCTATTTCCTCCATTCTCCTTTCAGGATTTTGGGTATGTACACACATGTGTCTGGGTGTGTACACACATGTGTCCAGCATCATTTTCATTTTCAAGTCACCAGGTCCATTACTCCAACTTAGTAGACCATGTCGGAATTCAGCCTCTACCACCACACCACCTGCTGGTCCATTTTCTTTTTTAACCAAGATTACTGCTGGGCCAGTTCAGATAAGTGGAGTGCCTGATTCATCCCTACTGTGCTTAAGTGTCAATATACCTTTAGACTTCAGCTTTGTCTTAGAAAATTAGTTCAGTCTCCTGCTTAGCAGAAGCACAGAGCTTGAATGAAAGCAACTTCTAAATGTCATATATCTGCTGCATGATTTCTGTGCTTCTGCAAACCAGCATGGATTTACACACTGCACTTAAATGATGGACATAAATTCTGAAATTGAGGCCACTCTGGCTGGTTTATTGCACAGAAACTCCCAGGGCCTTTCCAAAGGTAGCTCATTTTGCTTTTTTATTCTAAACAAATAGTATAGTTCTATCCCTAAATGTATGCCATTTTGGCCTCCTTGTTCTGCTTTGAATCCTATTGCAGTTATTAATTTAAAAAAATTTAAATCCTTAAAGTCCTCTTGGTCTGTGTTATTCATATGAATGGGAATATTAAAGTCTATTTTATGGGCCTTTTGTGAAGATTTAATATAACAATGAGTGCAAAGTGCTTAGTTTAGTGTCCAGCACATAGAAAGTGCCAAATCAACACATTAAGCTACAGATAGTATGCAGAAGAGTTCCTCTTTGAGTCGTGCTTCATAATTAGCATTAGCCATCTCAGTGTTGTTTGCAGAGCAGCTAAGAGACTGATGTAATCCCCCCAATATCAGTTTTCTCAGGGGGACTATCCAGAGCTCTAGCATCTTAGAAATATAAGAAATGATAAATGTCCCTCATTCAGAGCCTTCCATGCACTGTGGATACCTTTTCTTCATACATAAGAATATCTGGTTGTGAGGTAATTTGTAGGAATTCCCTACTGGCCTCTCCAAAGAGGAAGTGATGATGACATTGACAGCAATTTAGGCAGAGAATCAATAGTGCTGCACTTCCTGTAACAGCTGGATGGTGAACACCTTATCCATGACAAACATTTAAATGATGGACAGGGATCCTCAAGAATCAAAAATTCCCAATATTGGGCATGCATCCCCTCCAGTTTGTTGGAAGGTCATAGTCACAATCTGATTAGTACAGGTTTTCTGGGGTAAATTTCTAATCTCCAAGTTTCCAATGGGGCCAAATTTAAGGAATGTGAGAGTAGGAATTTTTGTATCTGACACATACAACCACTCAGGTACAAAATAGATCATACATGCATTTTCTTGAATAAGATAAGGGATTTAACCACTGCATAGCCTCTCTGTTGTATGCCAGGGAATTATTATCATAATCTATAGTGCTATTTTGTTTTAAGCTTATTGAGAATAGGGAATAGTATCATCTTCAATAAATATGTATTAAGTTGAATGAATTGCTCATAAATGAGAACAATTCCTTATAATATGCATATCTTACATAATTCATTTGCTATTAACAAATTGTTATAAAACTTTTGATATTTTAACATTTAAAATCAGGGATACTACAAAATAAATTATTTAGCAGGTAGGCTTTTTAGATAATGTTGATATTTTATTTCTTGAAAAAAAATTCATGACAACTGTTCTGAGTAAAAAAATACTATACTCACCAGTCACTCTATTTTCTAGATATTATATTGAGATCCTGCTACAGGAGTATAGATTAAGTGCTTTTGTGGATGTCGGGCTGTACCAGTATACAAATGTCTATACCGAACAACAAACAGGAGATGCAGTAAATGAAGAACAAGTTATCAAATCCCAGTCAACAGTCATCCAGGAAGTGCAGGTTTGCTACGATTATAGATCTACATTCTGGATAAGAGTTCTATTTGTTTGTTGATTTCACTAGGTAAGATACTGTTTTGGGGGAAGCAGTCAGGGACAATTATTGAGTTGTGGTTTGGAGTCTCTGGGTTATAGAAGAAATAGGCTGTTAGTTGTTAACATAATTTTTGAAGTAATTTTAAATATTACTTTATTATCTGCAATAAAAGTGTTAAAGAAGCATTGAATGACCAAATTATGATGCTCCTAGAATGTGTTTTCTATGTATTAAAAATATGTTTTTCAAATTATAAAATAGATTATAACACTGGAAAACTGGGAAACAGCTAATGCAACTAATGAAGTTCAGAAGATCACAGTAACCAGCCCATGTATAGAAGCTGACTCATGCTCACTTTACCAATATAGATTAATTTATAAGATGGAAAAAACTGGTAAGTTATAAACAATATGGAAGATGTTATTTCTCTTCATGTATGGATATAGCTATAAAGTATTTGCTGTAGTCAAATTCTACTCTGTGGAAAATATAGTTTTAATAGTATGCTAGACAAAGACACAGAAAACATTATGAAGAAGAGCCTTCAGAATGGGATAAAATATAGCATCAATACCAACAACTCTCTGATATTTTCTGTCATTTCTCTTATAAGACTAACGATGAATGCATATCTAAATACAGATAAGAATTTTATACATTTGTGACTAACACATGTAAGTTAAGAAAATCAGAATTGAAGTGATCATTGCAGAAAAGTAAACATGTTCTCAAATTAAGTGATAGGCCTATTAAACATTAATGTTTCACTACTTTATATCATTTGCATTAAGTAATAATTAGCACTAATTACTATTGATTAATAAACCAAAATCTCTCTTTAAACAACAGTAAATGTTGTTGTTTCAATCAGTAAGTACTGGTAAGTGCTTACTGTTTGTCAAATACAATGTTTATTACTATGAGGACGTTAAAATGATCAAACATGAGCCCTGTCCTCAAAGAGATCATATATCAATTAGTATTACTTATCTTGGACCAAATTTAACATTTATATCTTGTTAAATAGTGTAATTTTTTATGGTAGAAGATGTAGACAGTTTAAATACAGGGCATCACTGTTGGCTGCAGAAGTGCAGAAAAATTTCAACTACTCCCTTTTGTTTTTGTTTTAAATACATAAAAGTCTGGATACCTGCTGATGCTTCGGACTTTACACTGCAATCAGCCTTAAATGACCTCTGGTCTATACAACCAGATACAGTTCAAGTAATAAGAACAGCAGAGAATCTTCAGAGTTATAGCTACATAATAACCTTTATGTCAACTAGAGGTAAGCATGTATTTCATTTTGCCATTCCTTAGGAAACAAACTCGAACTTGTGTAACCCTGCTGTAAAATTACAGAGGAGAAAAATTGAATTCAGAGCCTTGATCAATGTTCAGAGAAATAGAAATTAAATTGTTAATAGTTTTCTATGGTAATTTAAAATTTAATTTTAGTTCAAGGAATTATATAATTCTGATGCATGAGAAATGCACTGTCTATACCCCAAATGCATTATCAGTATAATAACCTGCTTTATAAATTAGTAAAAATTCATGAAGATATTCATCCTGAAAGTGAAATTTCTCCAAGAGACACCAGACTGACCAAATTTATTTATTTATTTATTTATTTATTTATTTTAGATTTTTGCCACAGGGCTTGTGTGTTCACTGGAGAGAGACAGAAGAAAGAGGGACAATAAGAAATCACCCCACAGGGGGGCTGACCACATCACAGTTTCTTCACCTTCAACCTCCACTCAGGATTTTGGGCACACATGCACATGTGCCTGGCATAATTTTCAATTCACCAGGTTTGGGACTTGAATTGCAGTGGGCCATGTGGGGGTCCAGCATCCTCATCTCCACACCACCTACTGCCCCTACACTGACCAAATTTTGCTTGATGAAAGAATTCTATAATTAAATTCACATGGGAAACATGCATACTATGGCTCCTTCTTAAAGACTGACAGACCTCTTTAGAATAGTAAAATCCCTGAAGAGTCCTGCATGAAAAACAAAAATTACCTATGATTAATGCAAACTTATTTGCTCTTGTCACCTCTTTTTTCACAAATTAATAACTATCAACGTTTTATTGGTGTATTATACAAGTCACTTTTGAAAATATTGAGGTACATACTCTGTCTTTTTAAAAGAATTATTTTTTTATTTATTAATTAATTTATTTTAATTTGACTGGAGAGAGACACAGAGCGAGAAAGAGAGAAAAGTGAGAAAGCAAGTCACCAGGTTCGGGACTTGAACCATGGTCGGCCATGTGGGAGTCCAGCGCCCTTAACTACCATGCCACCTGCTGGCACCTAATTCTGTCTTAAAATCAAGTTTAACAACCAGTTTGGCTATCTAGTCCACAAAGTAAATCAATCTCTCTCTCTTGCTGTGTGTGTGTGTGTGTGTGTGTGTGTGTGTGTGTGCATTTACTTTTTTGGGGGAAATGATTATTTAATTCATGTAATGTTAAGTGTTTCCTCAATATTTTTGTCTCATTTAAAAACATTGTTAATTCGATCATTAAATGAAGGATGAAGAATTTTAACATGAATCAAAGTTCTAAAATTTTGCCAAAAGTTAGTTTGTCTAAATATTGCATTTAAAAGATATGGTTTATCCTTCTTGGTCTACTTATAGATCAGAGAGAAATTTTAAAGCTTCAGCAGAAGAAATATTGTACCCAACTTATAATTGGACAGGTCTTAAGGCTACCCAGCAACCCAACAGAGAGAGTTAAGAGCATTCCAATAGTAAAGCATCCTTCCAAAGAGGAGAGACATCTAAGGACAAGGCTTATTTCTATCCAAGTGACACTGTATGAACAATCCTCACAGGTGTAGGGCTGTGTCTTAGAACTCAGCTATGTGGCCTGTTCATGTATAAGAAGATAGCAACATCCCAGCCAAGCCTTTCCACTAAAATAATGGTACTGGCATGCACACACACAAAAATTTAAATGACATATTCTATTGGCTTTTGATTTGTACCTTATTGTACTCGTACATTTCTCCACTCATCATATTTCTTTAAATTTGAGAATTATCAAATTTTTAAGTTATTATTATTTTCTAATTTTCTATAGAAAGATGTGCTCACCAGAGAGAGAGAGAGAGAGGAAAATGAGAAGGCAGGCTGCCAGATCTGGGAATCAAACCATGGATGGCCATGTAGGAGTTCATTGCCCCAACTACTATACCACCTGGTGGCCCTTCTGTTTATCTTCTAATATTTATTTTAAATGACAGAAACAGAACCTTAGATAGCAGTTTACTGTTCTGCTGTGTCTGCTATTGATTCAAATGAAAAGATCTGTGTCTTTGGCATTCATCCCTCTTTTATGATAATGGAACCCCAAATAAAATCGATTTGTTAAATTCTAGTGCTTATAGATACTTTATCAACTTTTTATGTCCTGTTTGTTACATCATTACAGGAGACTTTGATCTGCTCAATTATGAAGTATTTGAAGGGAATAATATCACACTGAATATTATAGAACAAACCAAAGGGAAACCCAACTTGGAGACGTTCACACTGAATTGGGATGGGATCGCTTCTAAGCCTCTTTCCGCATGGTCATCAGAAACCGAAGTATGCTCTAGGATTGCTCTTATCGCACGTTTTCCCTGCATCTTCCAGCAGGAGGATGCTGCAGTCACTGGCCATTTGTAGACAGATGAGAAATACATTACTTCTGCCAAAGTCGCTACACCTCATTGAGCCCCTGAGTGACTTATTGCAATTTACGTATCATGGACACTTTTGTCTGAAAAGGAACTCAGAGGCAATCTAGTGCAAGCGCCCCTATTTCTAGACAAGACATTGCAAAGACTTGAAAGCCTTGTGCTACTTCTGCAAAGAGCCTCTGTGTCCTTCGACCCGCCCTAGTATTATTCTTCATTCACAATACAAATGTCACTAAGTGAAAGTCAGGAATTCCTTGAGAAATGTAGCACAGTAAAAGCTTACCTATAAAGTGCTGGTTGGTTGAAGTATCTTGTTATTTTATTAAACAGGAAGCCATTGAGGTGTCAATATTCTATAAAGAACACTTCCAGGAGTGGTAATAAATTTTCCTAGTTGGCATGGTGAGCCAACCCATAGTGTGGAGAGAAGGGAGGAAATATTAACGACAGAGATAAGGAAAGAGGAATTCTTAGGACTAGGCCAACAGGGCTTAACATATCTCCATAGGGGGCAGCGCTGTTCATAAAGAAAGAATGTGCGTGAGTTACTGAATTGTGACAACTATCTATGCAATGAGTTTAATATTTGTGTGATGATTAAAAATGGTACATTGCCTCAAGCCTTTACTTGTAAACAGTAATATCTATGCTTTACCAGAGAGATACATGCAGAAATTAGAAAAGAGTCATGAATGTGTACCAGTTTCTATATAATCCCAAATCCTTGCTATTTTTGAACAGTCATAAACACAGACTTGCAATATATGCATCTCTTCTTTTGAAAAACAGAATACATTGGAATGTCTGGATTTTTTGCAGTTCATTTTGAGTTAGTTCAGAAAATGATTTGCTTGGTATCTGTTTAATTGGGTATTAACTAATTTAGGTTTGCTTCAATGATTGTTTAAAAAAAAAAAAACACCTAAACTGATATGTCTACCTTTTGTAATAAGTAAGCGAATATTAACTAACTGAATGTAACTATTTTCATTCTAAAATACAATTCTTGGAAAAAATCACTGGACACTGAAATTATCACAGGTTACCTTAAAATTATGTCAGAAATGCTCTCATAATTAATGGCTGAAACATGGACATTATCTCATAAAACTTTCTGTTAGAAATAGTAGAATTACTAAAGCTCTAACTCTTCATGACAATAAGCTAATGAAATTCATGTTGCGAATTTAGTTTCAGGCAGCAGTAGAAGAAATGGTCAGCACTAAGTGTCCACCACAAATCGCAGGTGTGGAAGAAGGATTTGTTGTGAAATACTTCAGAGACTACGAAACTGACTTCGACTTGGTATGGAATGTTGACTGTACTGTGAAAGTGAATAAGGAGTCATACAAATGTTTGGAATGCTACAGGTTCTTTTGTTGAGCTAGCTTTAATTCCCTTATCATTCTAAGTAAATTATGAAAATAATTTTGTTATACATTTATTGGTAAGGTCTGTTCTAGCATCTTTTCTCTATAAAAGCAGTATTTCCGCCATAGGTGAATTTTCTTGATCAATAAAAAGTAGGCAGGATGGGTACATGTAAGTTAGATCTACGGGGTTTTTGATTGTTTGCTTTCTTCACAGGGATGCACAGTGTCTGCATTTCTTCATTAGCTTCAGAGAATACAGTTTGTAGCATATATTAGAAATTGCTTCCCTTGCTTTCTGAGCTCACACTCTGGCCAATTAGTGCAGCATCTATTTATTATTTAGTACTTCATGAGCTCTAAGTATTTTCATTTGTTATGAATTATGTGATCAGAGAGAGAGACACAAAGAGAGAGAGAGAGAGAGGGAGATAGAAAGAAAAAGAGAAACTGAGAAAGCAAGTCACCAGGTCTGGGATTCGAATGATGGCCGGTCATGTGGGAGTGTCCGGAGACTTAACTGCTATACCTAAATATATACTTTCTAATTCTCACTTTGAAGATTTGAGGAAGCCAGATATTCACCATGTCCAATTGAATACCTTAAGAATTAGAAATCTATACCCTAATTATTTATTTTAAATCGATACCCTAGAAATAAGTATCAACTCTTAAATGCGCGCACACACACATGGCATGAAACTTTATGTAAACATAAAGTTTTATTAGTGAGAAAAAAAGGAAAATCCTTCCATATAATGGGTGGCCTTTTCAACTTAATAAATATACATGTACTTGAGTCCTTTATTCTGAAATATACAGAATACTGGCAGTCATGAGGATTGCACAAGTAATGCACATTCTACTTTGCCACTTCATCTCCCATCACCACTGAACACGCATTTCTATGCTCCACCTCACCTTATGTTTTCCAGCAACAGACTCTCTCTCTCTCTCTCTCTCTCTCTCTCTCCCCTCTTTTGCCATATGGCATGTGCATTTGCTGAAGAGACAGAGAGGGAAAGTGAAAACTCAGCCCCTCATGGGGAATGGCCAATCT